CAATTTGTTAAAAATGTACCGTACTTCCATTTACAGAAAATTGTTTTATCTCTTTACGTGAAAAATATTTACATATAAAAATGTTATAAAACTTAATTAAAGTTGAAATTATCACAAATGTTGTCAAAACCTGTCAAGTACATTTCATTAAACAAATTGAATAGGCGCGATCGATGAGAAGTAATTGCGCTAAATTTTGCAAAAGGCGTAACACAAGTTGCTTGAAAGATTAATCTAAACTCGATGATAAGCGCGAACGACATATTGATCTGTATGGAGAAAAATGTATAAGAAGATAGTAAAAAGAAGTAATGGAATTGTTAGAGTGCGAACGTGGACTTCTAAATTATGCAATGTTAAGAATTTTCCACAATGAAGAAGTGAAGTTGATTATATATATAGTAAAATCGATTGCATATGATATAATGTGATTCCATTTTAGCATCATTATGAAATAATGAGTAACGTATCGAGTTGCATAAAGCTCCGATGCAGATGTTATATTGAGAAAGATTAAGTTAAGACGACAACATACATTTTTAATGCTCTTTCTTGTAATTGCATTATTGAGAAAAAAAATTGGACTTAATAAGAATCGACAGAATAATTTCGCAATTACATCTGTGAAATAGAGATACCTATGTTTTCGAATGCTTATTAGAGTCAAGTACAAAATGAGGATGAGTTTGACGATGAGTCCGTGGGAACGAAAATAATCATTTCTGCAGTAAATGGCCGGAGAATGTTTTACGCTCTTACTCCTCGACTCTTGTTGTCGTCTATAAAGTGACGTGGAACGATGTTTTGACGAGCGGTCGTAAAAATTCAGGAGATCGTTGTGTCATTTTCAGTTTAAAATCACTCGACGTCTTCCACACATTTTTCTGTCTCTCCCGTGCGTTTTTACTATCTCCCGTGCACGTTTCCAATTTAGAATGTTGAATCATGATTATCCCGGCGTGTCTCCCGGGTGCCGCCGTGCAGCTCGCCGGAAATCGTTACGAGTACCCATCAGGGACCGATGCATCTGATTCAATGCATTCATCGATGACGGTTCTCGACGTGCGCTTGAAACTCGTTCGGACTACGTAAACAGGAAAATCATCCTCTCGAAGTGCCCCGCAGATGTTAGGGCAAATTTCCCCGGTTAATTGGCACGTTACCGCCATTGGCATTTAAACCGCGCTAATGAGAAAGGAGGGGAAGGGAAGGGGAGAGATAGATAGAGAGAGAGAGAGAGAGAGAGAAATAGAAGGAGAATCCTAAGCGTCGCAGCGCGACAATTTTCTTTAATCAATGTCGAGTGCACATGAACTCGATAATAACTCGGCATTATCGTGTCTTGTAATTACATCACGGCAATTTTCCCGGGGGCGCGTAACAAGCTCGTAATCGATCGTAAATGTCCGCGTAAAATGAGACCAACGCCTGATGTTGTCCGCAACACACTAGTATCGGATCATCTCGGGTGTCTCAGATTGCAACCTCGTGAAAGACGAGGCGCTTTAGGACGCGTTTCAATTGTGTATGCTAACGTCTCACGTTTCTGACGAGAAGATCGGGTAAAAATGAATCTCTGTGTGCGCGACCCCGAGTGGTCCCCGAGATTACGTTTATTCGTAGGAGGAGCTTAAACAGACTCGAAGTATAGATTTGCCGCCTGTCGGATTTCCTGAAGTCCCGGGATAAAAGACCCCCTCGATTCAAATACATGAGAAACGCGACTCGAGAAACGCTTACGTTCCCTTTACAGAGACGGGATACAATCGAGAGAGAATGATATTCTTTCCGTCAGAAAAATTCATCTACCTATTTATTTCCGCCGTTGCGCATTCCATCGCCGCGGGTGATTCTCTTCCATCGATATCCGGCCTGAGAACCAATTTAGTATTCCGTGTCGCGGTGGATAAAGTTCGTCCTTCTTCTCTTCCAACACGGAATAACGATAGTAATTATCCGTGGCCAATAATAGCTACGGACATGACAAGCGTCATAAAACTTTTCACGGAAATTCATGCCGCAAGAATCTCATTTGAAAATTTATTACAATGTGAACTCGTTGTACTGCGTATTATTATTTATTTTGGAGGGGACCAGTGCAATTTATATCCCGGCAATTACAAATTGTAACTCATTGACGTAATATATCATTATGAGTTTAACATCGCATCGAGCCAAATTAATTAAATAACTCAATGTGACATATTTTGCTCTCGTTTCAATCCCATCAACGCGGCTCGACGTATACATCGGTGCCAATCAATCTGAAATTAAAGATATGTATATTTACATCTCTTTCCTCTTTAAAACTTCGTTACGTAAACGAAATAAAAATCGTCAATTAATACATCATGAATGACTTGACGAACTACAAACGGCGGGGATTTTAAACCGATGGAACAATCCTGTTTCCAATTCGGATCCTCTTCCCGGAAAATCCGCGGAGCAAGAGAAGTCACGTGCGAGCGGTATTCAATTTTGCAGCGATGACGTTAGAGAGAAAGCTAGAGAGATGGAAAACGCGAGCTCCGAATTACGCGCAAATCTACTTACGCACAGAGCGCACGGAATCTGACATTATCCGAGAAGCGTCGGATAGGGGGAAGGTGGAGGACGCGCGCGTTAGGGCGCGCGCCCTATTCATCATCGAGATAATCCCATGCGAAATCGAACCGGCAATCAACCGCGGCTCGATAATCACGCTAAACGGAATTAAGCCGATAAACGTCATAAGTTCACACGTGGCCTTTATCGCGCGTCGCTCGCGCGCGTGTGTGTGTGTGTGTGTGTGTGTCATAGGGCAACTGTTATCCGGTTATCATCGTCAAAAGGATAGCTGTGCAAACAGAGTTAGTATGCAATTTCTGTCCGCCTGGTAACACTGTAAAAAACTACCATGTACCGTGCACATCGTGTGTAGTTTTGATCGTGTACTAACGTTGTAAAAACTGTACACAGTTAGTGCATGGGGTTCTTTTTTTTTACGGCGCGATAACGTTATAACGGAGCGCGTGTTTTTCGATGAAACCGGAGCGCATCTCTGTTGTTCGACTTCGCGCGTATCAAAAAGGTTTTAAAGCCGATGGATTGGACCAAAGGGCACCTGGTGTGGGCGAAAAGGGAAATGACTCTCTTTTTTTCGGCTATTTTTCACTTCGGTAGCTTCCACACAACACATTTTCCGCGGGCTTTTTTTTTCCTTTCTCAGTCACTCCATAAATTTCGTTACGACGATAGCGTTAACCATTGCACGTTGAATTACGAGTTTAACGCGGTACACGTGAGTTTAAAATAATTATTTTAACATTTATCAAACGATAACGACGTTCAACTTTCATACTCCATGAAGTACGATAAATGATATAATTATAAACGGAAAGTTTCAAAGTTTCTCTTCCATACGTGCTTCTACCTAATGACCCTTTTACCATTTATTAAAAAGGTCTGCGCTGATCGAAATGTCGCAGATGAAAAGAGACCCGGCGAGTCAGGAAGTATGCCATGCGTTCCAATATTTTCTTTCGTTATTTTCTCTCGTCATTGTGAGCACGTAAAAAAAAAACACTACGAAATTTGTGTTGTATAGAGATAATATTTCGCCGACTATATATACGTAACACCGTTTGCCTGTTGCTCGTAAAGTTACGGAAGTTCATATAACTTTGTGATCGCAATTTTTCACGTCAGTATTCATCTCATCACCAAACTCTGACTTTTCTCACACAAAACAATAAGGGAGCAGACGCGCGTCAATCGCGGCTCGTTAGAAAAATCTCACCTTGTTGCTGGATTCAGTTGCAGCATCTCAAAGAGCTAATTACGCCGCCGGAGCTCCTTGTTCTTGCAGCATTAAAGGGAAGGAAAACACAATCACGTATTCCGTGACAAACAAAGAGCCGTTCCGATTCCATTGACTCGTGATATCTACCTTCAAGTCGTATCACGCATTTTCTCGACGCGAACAGTTTGCTTTGTAATATATCCCTGCAAAATCGAATGTGATTTTTGAAATCAAAATTAAAAGCAGATATCTTAAATATTATATTGTAATATTTTTGGATAATATAAAAATATTTTGATTAAATTTGAAAAATTAATTACTACACTGAGAAAAAAAATTGATTGTACGAACTAAATTTGTATAGTTGTATTGTTGTATTGTTTGATCGAACGGTTGATTTAACAAGTTTTTAGTTACACAAAAAAAAAGTATAGTTCATTCATGTCAACCATCAAAATTTTTTAATCAAGAATAACTCAATTAAATTATTTTGTTTGAAATACTAGTAGTATTTATTTGTGTTTGCATGTTATTTAGTTATCCAAGTAATATAATTGTTCAAATTCCAAGTATCAAACTAACTAAACGATGCTGATAGGAATAATAAATAGTGTGTATTTTTAATCAAACGGTTAAGTTAAATACGCTCAATTTTTGTTGAAACAAAATATTTTAGTTAAAAAGTAGTATTTTGTTTATAATAGTAACAAATTATTTTGTGTCATCGTAGTAACGTTTAGTTAAACGTATCGGACTAAATATTTTGATAAAATAAAACAAATTTCGCATTTTTCAACAAATTTTTTTTCTCAGTGTATTATAGTAATATTAGAAAAAGTGTATGTGTATGAAGAAGAACATTATAATATTATTAATAGCAAAACTCAGCTGTAAGGTGTTTTATAATATGATCTAAAATAAAGACATCCTGTAACTGTATTAAAAGACTAATTATTTGAGAAAGAAATGTTATAGGTAGATTTTACACGTATAATGCATATATGCGTTGTTCTTAATGTCATTATAAAGTTATAACTTTGATATAACTCTCAGCCCCGGATGCAAAAGAGTTAGTCTTGTTGCGCACGTCTAAATTAGGTCAGCATGCCTGCACGTTTACGTATTCCGCAGGCGAGGGTGAATCGGCGGAACAGGGTGTTCTCCCGCCGTTCCCCGCCTTGGTGGCAGTGACAACGCGGTCGGCAGGGTCCAGGGGCCCATGGCCGGGAACTGTTTTCGCCGGTTCTGGTGGTGGCTCCCGTTCGCGATCCTATCCGGGTGCTTCCTCCCCGCGGTGGTCGTCGAAGCCGGTCGTATTTCGTGCACGTCCACCTTCCTCACGGAGGCAGCGCGCGACGGGCGGTCCGACGCGGACGTGATAATCTTCCTGGGCGAGAGATGCGACGGGGAGATCAACATCACCGAGATACAGGATCACTTGGAGCGCGCGCCCAATCTGGCCGGCGAGCTCTCGATCAGCGTGATGCCGCGATCTCGTGAGTATACATACGACTTGCGTCCGACTTTATCCGACCGGACGCTATAGGTACTCATTCAGTAAACGTGCCGCGGCGTCGAATGGAAGCGCCGAGTATTGCAAGTTTTATACGCGCGATACCTGGTTGGAAAAAACGTTTTTTTTCCCCCGTGCAGATATCTCACAAATATTTTATGTATAAATTACAGTGAGAGATGTGTAACTAGAAAATGGTCCAAACGAATGGACATTGAGAATTTATAAGTGACCAATGATACCTAGCGACGCCGAATAATTAATTATAAGGAGGATTCATGTTGGGAAGACAACGCTAAACCTAAGACATACCGCGCACCACGTAGGATAGTAGTCTTGAATACATTAATTAATTCGAGGGTTATTTCTCTCACCTATAGTAATAAATTATACGCGCCTGTACGTGCAACGTGCAACGGTAACGTTAAATTTTAACGTAATACGTTTGCTCCACACCGAGAGTAATGATATTATGCGTATATCCGCAACATATATAGACCGTAATATAATCATTTCGCGCGCTTCCGTTACGCGTTATCAAGCCGGCCCTAAATTTGCACCCGCATGAATCACGATGATGTCCAATAATCCAATTACGTATTCAAATCGAAACTCGGTCGGTTATGCGTTTGGCATAAGCGCGCTGGTCTCTGGCGAGCCGCAAAGAGCCCGAGCTCTCGAGCGTCGTTTGTCCTGTGGATGCCGCCGGTACGCGCGTCTCGCGCGCGGAAATGACGTAGCGAACTGTCTCTGGAGTGCCGTCTCGTCTCGAGGACACGAGACCGGAATATAATGCGATTTGCGTGGCAGGAAGTTGATACGTCGAGCTCTAGAGTGGCTCAGACGATTCCACGTTCGCAAACCCGATCTTCCCGTAAGAGAAAGAGAGAGAGAGGGGTGTGTGTGTGTGGTCGAGAGAGATTCGCATTCAGGAAGCGCTACTAATAGCATCTCCACCGTATTGTTTGCACCGTCGTATCTTGCACAATCGCCAACGGCGGCACAGAGACACGCGGTACGTATCCACTCAGCGCGGAGTGATATGTACCTATCCGGCAGCAGCGCTTCTGAATAGAATCGGGTTTCAATGCGACGAGCCAAACATCAGGGGCTTCGATGTTGCGTCGAGTGCTGACTGTAACGAGGGAAGTACCGCGTATATATATATATAATATATATAGGAGTAAGCGCGTAACTGCGGCTGTCTCGTTATTATCATCCCGCGGGATGAAAGAGGATAGCGAGCTTATCGGAATCGATAGCCGACTCGCGAGCCTATTGAAAATTTGCGCCATTAAATCAATATACGTCACACCCGCTCTCTCACCAACCACCCTGTAACGCGGTGTCTCTCGCTCGCGTGCTGCGGTAACAAGTTGCCGGGAGTCGAGGATCGCCCGACCCCGAAGTCTTCCGAAGTCTAGCCTCGCCGATCGTCGCCGTCCGCTCCCCCGGGGAATTAAATGGTCCGATTAATTAATTTTCCAGTGACGTGTGAGACGGAAACCGCGGGCCTCGGCGCGCTGATCCACGCTCTCGGCGAGAGCAACACGAAGGCGGTGATAGCCGCGCTCGACAGCTCGATCTGCGAGGTCGCCGCCAAACTCGCGCATCTTGGGAATAAGCCGCTGCTAACTTGGACTTGTCCGCTGGTGAGTGTTATCGCGCTTACACTCGCAGCCGGTCTTCGGTAGTTTACACAGTTATCGGAGCCGTTGAACGGCAATTAAGGTCCTCGTATCTTGAGGAATGGCCTCGTGAAAATACTTGGTATGAAACAAAGATGCTACATTGCAGCTTTATCTGAAAAAGAAATCACGGAATGAAAGAGAAAGATCTAAAATTTTATGTCGCGTCGAAATTAAGCATCACGTATGCCTGACTATTGTTGACTTGTATCACCGATTCGTTAAAAAAACTATTCTCTCTATGACATTTTGACAATTTTTATTTTACACAAATCCATAAAACTATTTCAAAAATTTTTTAAATTAATTTTCCTGTCCGAGTGACATTTATGGCCTATATTGACGTTTCGCTTTGTATTCAGATTAAAAATTAGTGCAAACTTTTTTATACGCAGATTCCGACATGTGTTTCTCGGAATTCCAGAATATGTCATTGGATGTTAATATTATTAATAAAAAACAAACCGTAATCTATGGAGTAATAAAAATGTGAAACAACAAGGTTTGCGTCGCCAGCGACGTGCAGCGAAAGGAAATATCAAATACCTACAAATTTTACGTGTTTATTGCGGGGCGCGTTTGTAGCAAACCGTGAAATACGGCGCGACGTTATTTAGTCCCGTTGCATTTTTTTTCCCCCCCGGCGAGCAAAAGTTAAAATAATGAAAATTTGTGTGCTCGTAAATAATTGCATACCAACGTAATATCCGGACTGAAATTAGAGAGACCGTAAATTTCGGGCCTGTCGGCCCTCGCGCAATTGATTCTACTGGAGGAGCTAATTTTAATTTTAATTTTCGACTTTCGAGCGTCATTTGAACCTTCGGGGCCGGATAAATGGTTATTTCCCGTTATTTGGTTTTCTAATTGGCGCACGTCCAATTATAGACATTTCCGATGCACAATTAAGCGGCAAACTCGTAGTGTATCTCCGCGTCGGGTGTCTCGACGAGGCAGTAATATAGAGCCTCGTCAGAGCTCCTTTGATTCACCGTGAACTTCGTCAACGGTAAAGCGCAATTTGCTTGAACGAAAAAAAGTCGCCATCTTCGCGAAAAAGCTCGTCTTTATATTCGCTCGTATAGATATTTCATACGGTTTCCCCAAGGCAAAACTTGTATCATCGTTTCAACGAATCCCGACGTATACTTTCGCATATCCTGTGACTCGCCTAAAAAAAATAGAACTGAATTTCACAGCCCCGTTATGTACATTTAACCTTTAGCCCTTTTCTGAAACAGTTTTCAACTAAAAAAAAAACGCGAAACACAAATTGTTTTAAAATGTTATTATTGCGGAGTATACCAGTAAGGAATATTTGGATTTTATTTTACTACGAGAAACACAAATAAACCATACGTACATATATACGTGTTATTTCTTTTGAAGAGATATACGCATAAAAATAAATATCCCGCAAATTTTTCACAAATATTTTTCTGTAAAACGATTTTGTTCTGGTCGTGATGGTATATTGATTTTAAATAGATGCGAAAATAAAACGTCTCGGGTATCGTCTCTCGTTAAAATTTGAGATCATGAATGTCGATAACTCATGTTCCAGAGAGATTTAAAGGAAAGGGATCTATCCTCGATCATTAGGCTGTCTCCGTCATTACCGTCGATGGCCGATGCTGTAACGGAAATATTTCTGCACTTGCAGTGGAAGACCGCGGCCGTTATCAGTATAGGTAAGTTCCCGAATAACATCGTAATAATATATAATTGCTCTAAATAAATTCTGTTGAGCGAATGACGTAAGTGATAGAAAAAAATAAAATAAAATAGTATTATTTCAATTTTGGTTGTACTTCAATACTTTTTTACCGTCTATTTAAACAAATAATATTTTTTTCGCTGTTCTCATCCAATTTAAATTATTTTGAAATAGAAACATCATGAAATAAAAGAATAATAAAAAATGATTTTTTAAGGAATAAATAACGAAGGTATATAAATTGTTTAATTTAGCTAAATTAAACTATTTTATTTTTGCGAATATATTCATAAAAACGGATATTTTTATAGAGATTGCACGTGATAAGTTATACAAAAAGTTTTTTTATTCGTCAGGGCAATCACTTCAATTGCCATGGCTTGTTCGAAACAAGCACTGACTCGGCGCAGTCCTTTTCTCGCTTCTCTCCCACAAAAGAATGCCACGAAATTTAACCTAAATATGTTATGCATTTCCCAAAAATATATATAACTTTGTGACAGTTGATTAAAACTTACAATCCTCATAAATTCAGCTTGAGAATTACGTAATGTATTTTGCAAGTCGGCCCCGTCAAACAATGTGCGCAAAATTCGCGGTGCAAAAAAAAAGCTCATTTATTGCAACGTGCGCTGCATGAGAAAATTACGTATGGCTTCGCGTCCCTGACGTCAACGGTCCAATCTGGCTCAGTCGAGTCCAGGGCTTAGGGATTAAATCGCAAATGCGAACAATGCGAAAGGATCCGAAAGGGACGATAACGACGATAACAACCAGTGACGGGACCGAATCATGCCCGACTGCCCCGACTGTCCATTAAAACGCGATTCGCCGCCCGACGCGACGCGCGCGCGTTGAATTTTAATGCGCACTTGACGGTGAGAGACACGATTAATGCCGCAGATCGCGAACCGTGGTCCAGCCTGGACCGTGCCGTGATCAATGCATTCCGAAGGCTCGGCGTCGTTCTGCGGTACCACCTGATTCTACCCCATCGCGCCACCCTCGAGCAGATCCGCAGGATTCTAAGGTCCATGCACAGCGTCTCCCGTCGTGGTAAGTAACGCATCCTTAATCCCATTATACGGAAACTCACGGGCGTTACTCGGCACTTACAATCCCGACTCTCTCTCTCTCTCCCCCTCTCTCTCTGCTGAAGTAACTACCGACTAACTATTGGATTGGAGGATTAAATGGCGCAAGGTAACGCACCTTCGTCCTGAATGGCAAACGACATGTACACGCGTCTCTCTCATCCTCTCCTACTGCCATCCCTTCGTGATCGAGAACGTTTATGCAGTTCGCTCCGCGATTGGTGCGACGCAGTTTGATGGCGATGCCATCAACTCTGAACCATTCCCAGATAGTGCTCGCGACTTAATCCTTTGATTACGTTCCTTTGTCGCTGTAAAATTTACATAGGGTGCCTCGGTACCTTCGACTTTAACTCAATTTGATCCTAATCAAAGCCGATTTCCTTTCTTTGTTATAATAACATCTCTCGAGGTGTCGGAGCTCTTTCAGCAGCGATCTTTTGGCCCTTGCGCGGAAATAACAAAATTTTATCACTTTCCGAGAAATGAGTGTGTAACATCGAAAGAGAGGGAATTCATCGTTAAAATAAACATGCAGATTTATTACATCCCTTTGCAAAGTAAATTGGCATTCGAAAATTAATATTTTCCCAAAACCAACTACCGAAGTAGAATAAACATAGCGTTTTGCAATGACAGGTGCGAGTTATTGCCTGTTTACATGCTCTTTGAGAATTGGATCTAAGGGGAAATCTATTTCTGAAAATCTCTTTACAAATCTTTTATTCCCTTCATAGGGATTAAGATAACTCGGCAAGCGAAATTCTCCGAGTAAAAATAACAGAACAAGAAAATTACACTCGCGTGCGCGCGGTATGTGTTTATAGAGGGTCGTGAAGTTAACAACGTCTTTCTAAATGTTTCCGCGGTACATAAAAGACGTAGCCGAGAACTCGCGGCCGGCTGCTGCTGAGCCAGGCTTAGCGGCGATGAAACCCACCTGCAGCCAATCCACAGGTCTTCCAACTGCAACATGTACGAAAAAGGAGGAGAACGTTTGTAGGGGCCGTTCGAGGATCGTTACGCGAATTAAAATTTCGACGTGCAGATTTTTGCAATTCTTTTGCCCGACACATCGACCGCCGCGTAAATCGCGCGCGTTTTAGCATCTCCGCGAAAACAGCTTGGTTAACGACAATTTACGACGCCCGGCGGTGTACTCGCGGATGCAAATGAAACGAGTAATGGCACGACGTGACCCATTCAGAAACGGGCCCAAGCGAATGTACATATATCTCCATATATACGAGATATAATGTAGTCAAAGTCCGTTTTAATTAATTTCAGCCTTATGAATGAAAGGTTCGCTTCGCGTTCGACTCGTTAAAGTGAGCACGATTCGTCGCGGGTCTGGGGAGGATATAATTACCGCGCGTCGTTTACGCAAATGTAAAGCGTACGAAATCGCGAAATGGCGACGAACGAGAGGACCTTGCCCGCTCAATTATTGCGTCAGGGATCCGTTTCGCGTCATCACAATGTTTCAGAGAGAAACAATGTTACGATTGTATTTTATGAAAGGGAGTATCCCTTTTTGTTTCTCTGTTTCTTCCTGTTGCTAATTAATATTAATTAGTCTTATTTAGTGCTTCATCTCCAGCCTGTAACATTTTAATTAAAATCTCCGGCTTTAATGTACTTCCGAACGGTATAGGGCCATAAATTCAATCTCCACTCGATTGGTCATCCTCTGGTCGTTAGCTAATATATCATTTTTCATGTGATTTATTCTTCTCTTCTCATATGTCTTTTTTCCTCGCTCGTCCCTTTACTCTTCTCCTCTCGTCCATGCACATACATTTACAATGTATCGCATGTTATACCTAGAGGCAAATATACGAATTCACGATTCAATATCGTGAAAAAGATGGGTTTTACTATTTCCTCATTTTTCGTTTGATTAAACATATTTTAACTTTTCAAATATTGTTTTTATAGAAAATCAATAACTCATCGGAAACGTTTCGAATTTTTATTGAATATTTCGTTTCATCCAATAAGACATGTAAATACTAAACGCGCCGTTTTTATGATCAATGTTCAAAATATATAACAGTTACTATATTATCTTAATTCATTAATGACAAAGCTAAGCAGGTAGAACTTGTCGACTAATAAATTTAATTAGTTTCATTAATAAGACTAAAGTACCATAGGTTTTGCTTAAATACAATTCCCTAAATACCATAATATTACATGTGAATTTATGTTTTTTAAAAACATTTTTAAATCAATTTTGGTGTTAGTTAGAATACTTTAAATGACCGAGTGGGTAGTTTATCGTGCCTTCCGACGCGTGCATTTGATCGGAACATTTATTATTTTGTGTCTGGCACTTAGGAGTTACTTTGTGCAAAAGTAGAAATGGGCCAAATCATTTTTGGCGTAGCTAGAATTTTTTAAGTGACTGAGAGGATGGTTTATCGAGCATAAGGGTGCCTTCCGACGCGTGCGTTTGATCGAAATATTTTGTATTGTGTTTGTGGCACTTGAGTTACTCTGTGCGAACCTAGATATGGGACGAATCTTTTTTTTTTAAATCGCTCCGGGAACGTTCCAACGTTCAACCAGCTGCGAGTATTTCATATTGCTCTTTACATCACGCACGTCCAGGCACGTTATAAACTTGATTCTTTTTTCTCCTTGCCAGCCACGGTGCTCTGTCTACCACTGCTCGACGAGATGACGAGCCGCGTTCTGATCGAATTGAACGTCGCGTGGCAAACGCACATCCAGAATTCCGTCATTCTGATGATCCACACGGAGGATATCGACCCCTTTCTACCGACAGACGACTCGCCCGCGCCGCCCACGTCGCTCCCCACCGAACCGTCGACCTTGGCCCGCTCCGCGATTACTCAGTCTTCCAATTTTTCTACCTCGAATGTAACTCGCGCCGGCCCGTACGCGACCCCGGATAGAGACGAGAGGATGCAGATGGTGCAGCGGACCGCGCGAAGATTCGCCCCACCGCGGAATCTCAGCAGCACCACGTTGGAGAATCTACTTGTGATCGCGCCGCTTGATCAGAGGTAATCAATCATTAACGACGTTAACCCGGGGACATTTTATCGATGTAAGCAGGTTGCGGGTTTGGAACATTCTCAGCCCGAGGAATAATACAGCTTCTTCCACGGAATATAAAATCAGACGCTCGGGCAGAATATCAATTGACAAAGAGATATGGGCTATTTAGTTACAAAATCAATTTCAATTTTCTTATTTATTGAATTCGAGATCAATGCAAAGGGTCTTGCAATATCTATAGCTTCTCTTCTTACAATTGGACTAAAATCTGCCTTCGTTACATCCCAAAAGTAAACGGTGTATCATTCGTGATGAATAATATTCTCTCTGCGACATTAATATATGTTTTTTTTTTAAACCTCGCGAAAATTGGTATCAATAAGTTAAGGCATCTTAAGTCCAATGATAAGTTTCAATTGTTATTAAATAATCGCGATTATGTCATCCACAAATGTCGCAATTGAGCAAGAACAGCAACGGATCATGAATAATTCTGCAGTCACGTTGGCAAATTAATTAACGTCCTCGGAATTACGTAATTAATCACCTGTTCTTCAGAATACTTGTAGCTTATTTTCTTCGTACATACTTGATAAGAAGGGATATAAGTACGAGAGAGAGAAGATTTATAATGGCAAAAATTGCACGTTGCCTAGAAAATCCTTCCTAGATGAACTTTTAAAAGTTCTCGGAAAATAGTCGCAAAAAATATCAGCGCGCTGTAATGCACCGGCAGCTTTCATCTCTCTTCAGGGACATGTTTATAATAATTATAAATATATAGCTTTGGTTAAAAATATTTTCACTATATGGAAACGTTTTTACTATACGTTCTGTATAAATTAACATTAATATATTTAAAAACACGTTTGCAAAACACGCGATAATAACAAATGTTGAAATAATTCGGCTAAAATATCCCCGAATATCCGTTGCCTTTTAATTTGCAATTATCGATCATTTTATTCGAGGTACATTATATTCTTATCTATACAGTCATTTAATTGTTTAACACGAATCTAACCGACAAAATTCAATTAGGATACAGATTGTCGGTGTGAGTCAGCTGAGAAGTTGACCTTAATCGAAGGGCTTTCCCTTGTTCAATTGAGGCAACGAGGCTACGTAATTACGAAATTCCGAACATGATGATGTCTCGAATTATAATACAAATCGCGCCTGTCGGATCATCGAGCCGAGTTAATTGTAGGCGTCGATCCGTGTAATTCGCCCCGTGATTAACTCGTGAGTGAACGGGTGCCGCGGTGCCTTCGGCGCGGCGGGACGTCGCGACGCCGCGTCGCCTCGCCTTACGTGACGCTCCCGCGGGGGGTTTTCTTATGCAGGTACGACGTGAAGAAGGTCCTCAACGGCACGCAGGATTACGCGACGCTGGCGTTGCTCGATCGACTGAACGAATCGCTGACCGTGCTGACACGCGACAACAGCAGTCTCGACAGCCACAACAACAAAATGTACACGTACGCCCTGATGAACTGGCGTGACGCCGGCTGGGAGCCGATCCTTGCGGTGGTCGAGCGGCACCAGCAGCTGCTGGTCCAGCAGCTGACGCCAAGCGCGGTGGCGTTTCTCAACGTCGAGGCGCCCGATCTGCCGTCTTGCGACGTCGACGGCGATTGCCCGAGTGAGTTTGCAGGAGATATGATAATAAGCACTGTGCGCGTCAATTTTATCGCGTAACTAATATAACATTAAACGCAATAGTATTTCAAACGGAAAATCGCACTTGGTAACAGTGTACCTAAACTGTGAACCAGAGTCTGCGGATGACCTGCAATTAATAATGCATAATTGGCGTTGCATGTCTCGTGGCGAGCGATTTTATTCATTGGGGTTTTATAATGCACGACGCTGGTGCAGCGATCGCGCGCGTTTGCGGATAGACGATCGGAAGAGATACTGTCAAAAATAGGACGGGATAATTGCGGAATGGGGAAAAGGTGCGAAGGAAGGGATCCCTCTCCCTTCGTATCTTTCACCGCCGGGATCGGGATCGATATAGGCGGTTTCCCTCGATTCTGAAAATATCGCCCGTACTGACAACACCGTAATGAGGTAATGCAGTGCATTAATTATTTAACAGATGGCTTGGCCGACATGTCTTTCCGTACCACACATATCGTAGCTATTATTCTGGGGTCGCTGCTGTTCACCTTTGTCGTCATTGCCGTCGCGATTATAATCCGGTGAGCGATCACTTTTATCACGTTATACATCATATCATTTATAGCCCGTAGCCAAACCGTAGAATCGTGGCATGCGTCGACGCTCCCCGTCCGTCCCTAACTGCCAGAAATACCTACCTTTTTTTTTATTTCTGATGCGCAAATGTATACAGTTTTTAGAATTATAATATTAGTTTTTCAGAGTAACGTCCTGATTACTGACTTAAATTTATTTGGCATTATTTCATTTCTTATTGAAATAATAATTAGAAAACGAACAAGAAGTTACGATATATAAATCCTGTTCTCCAATAAATTTTATCTTCAAAGATTATGACTAATGTAATGCATGCATTAAAAATGTATTATGATAAATGTAAACGAAAGATATAATTTAATACAGATTTAAATTAATTGTTATTACAGAATTTCAATATAATACAAAATTCAGAAAGCATCGAGTAAAACTTTCATCCTGAAACATCGATTTTCGAAGCGTTTATTTACATACATACATAAATTCATGGAAATTCTCTACTTCTTGTGATTCTTAATTAGTAGAGACTTTTTCTCTGTGTACGTTGGGTACGTCAACAATTTATTGCAGGAAGCGGCTGCTTAAAAAAAGGATGTCCAAGGGTCCGTACAAAATCATTCTAACGACGTCGGACTTCGTTTTTCCTCAAGTGCCTCCAGTAGATTCGAGAACGGTGAGTGGAATTTCATTCAGGAGACATGACAGGAGCTTTTAATCCTTCCCTTTCAGGCGCCGGCGAAAGGATTAAAGAATCCTCGGGTAGAATTACTTGAGTTATTAATGAAGTTACTTGATTACTTCTTTTATCAATGTCTTTGATCGTTCCTACGTGAAATATTGGCGTGAAAGGAATTAATATCTGTTGCTAAACTCGCCGCGGAGTTTGTGCTATAAAAATTCTGCGACGTTTACTTTTTATTGCACGTCGAAACAAAACCGTAATCCGACGTCCTATACGTCGGCGAAAACAATTTTTCACTGTCAGTTGGCTCAGGATTGTGGAGTCATGTTAGTACTGCGGACGAACTTTTTCTTTTACGGGGTGGAGGGGGGGGGGGAGTCTTCTTAATATAACGCAACGGATAACCGTGCCGTATACACGGGAGTTAAGATTTGCTCGGGGTCTTGATAGGATTATCTATTTCACGCGGGAGAACGATCGCTATGTGAGCTCCTAAATTATTAGCAGAAATACGTAGTAGAAATAGCCGATAAAAGTGCTAAATGTCATCGTGACACCCAGTTCAGACGGTTTAATTGAAGCCTCTGGGCGAACTTTTATATACGCTAGTGTACATTAAACGCCATACCCGTCGTAATCTTTACTTTAAAAAAGTGACGCTTACAACTCTTTTACGATTTTGATACTATATTTAACGACTGCAATGCTCGACGTAAAAGAACGTCGTATTTCCGGAATGTGATTTTTCCCTCGAAGAAAGAAATTATACACAAAGTTGAGATAACTCAAAATCACTGTGTAAAGAAATATATATAAAAGAGAAATATACATAATAAAGGAGGGATTTGTGAAGCACAATAGGCAACACAATGAGTACTCTTTCTGCGAGCTTGCTCATGCGTATAAAGCATTATATTACGTGCAACTTCGATTTCTCATTTCCGCACTTACAGCTTTTTTATGTCAAGGATCAGGCAGGGGTCGGGTGCTTTTCCAGTAAACATTCTGTATAACTACTCGATCCTATTACTTCGCATCGTGTACCTTCCTCCCCCTCCTCCCGGTTTGTATCCGTTCGAGTAATTTCCGCGGTAAAGGCGCACTTTATCGCATACCGGCTCGCGCGTGTTCTCAGGTAGACGAGGGCATCGAGGCGATGCTGTGCTGCTGGCTGCAGCAGCTGCAGGAGTTCGGCGGGCCGGAAGTCGAGAAGCCGGATCTGCTCCAGCTCGGGAGCGTCAACTCGCTGAGGCCGTACCTGCAGGCCAGCGGCGGCAACATACCGCGGCACACCTTCTTCAAGGATCCGCGTGCTAGATATAACGTGAGTGTACCTATATATAGTATATGAGCACGACGAGCGTTGCCGTCTAACGCAATCGCGAAACCCAGATACACCTCTCGCGTCCACTTCCGTCGCGGCTTCCGTACGAGAAACGCAGCGCGCCTCCCGCGATCCTGCGGTTACCTCGACCTCACCCTCGCTACAGATTTTAATCTCCGTTGATCGAGTTTCCGTGTTGATTCCACCAGACTCCGCTAAACTTAAATCATTTACGAGGAGCGACACGCGATAGGAGGATAATAGCACGTGGAAATAGTTCACCAATATCTTCCAGTGTCCAATTTTATCCCGTAACCCGTGTTTATATATAAAAAAGAAAATATAGAGCGAGAATCAGCGCGGCGGGGAAAAAGAAGACTCAGGACGTTCCATATATCCGCTTTCAAGGCATTATCGGTATCCTACATTGTACATACCTTCGCCGCCCTTGCAAACAATTTCACCCTTGATCACTTCCGAGAATTTTCTGCTTGACATGACGCGCGGTATTATCCGACAGCGCTAAGAATATATATTCCGAGACGCACGTCGATATTCATTTTCGCGCGTCGTGGACGTCAGTGTCCCTTATGCGGTGACGCTGATTAATACCGTAAGTTCCGTAAGTTCCGGAATATGCTAGGACTACCGATAAGAACCTCTTGTGTACCTAATGAAGATTGATAAGACAGCATTAAAACTATCTAAAACGCGTTCGCAATGGCCAGGAGCTAATCTCCGATTTACTTCGATCGAACGTCAAATCCTTTTTCTCCCCGCGGGCGACATAAGTCGATAGATTACACCAAGACGGATGCTGCGCTACACGGGCGCTCGGAGTTAATGATCCGATCTTGATTTCTGGTAGGGTGACTTGGTACAATTGAAGGAGCTGCCCTTTCAAGGTACGTTCGAACTGAAGAACAAGGCCATGGACGTGCTGGTCACGGTAAAGGCGCACATCCTTTTATTCATACTTCTGAGTTAGATTTGATCGAATTTCTTTCCACTTTTCTACGTTTTCTACTTTTGAGCAGATCCACGGGCTGCGACACGAGAACCTCAATCCCCTGATTGGATGCCTTAACGAACCTACGAGACCCTGTCTAGTGTCGGAGTACTGCTCTAGAGGCTCCTTGGAGGACGTACTCGTCCAGGACGAGATTAAACTCGACTGGTCCTTCAGATTATCCTTGCTCACCGATCTCGTACGGGTGAGTACGATCTCAAACACGATACGTTAAACGTAAGTTAAGAGGCCAAGAAGATTTCCGTGAACCAGAAGGATTAAAAGAGATCGAAAAATTTTATAGAATACATATTATATATCCCGTTAATTTTTTAAATTAATATAATGAGATAAATAATCAATAATATAAAAATTAAAATAGAACACTGAATGTTTGACATCCATATACGATTGGAAATATTAAAATTATTATACGAAATTATCAGGGATTTCAAATTTTAATTTCGATGGTAAATGTTTTAATATGATTTAGAGTTTCGAAACTTGAAATTGATTCTGTGCACACTCTGAAACTACGATAATTTTGGGTGGTTTGTTCGCTTCAGGGCATGAAATATCTTCACGGCACTCCGATACGCGTCCACGGCTATCTCACGTCACGGAATTGCGTGATCGATGCGAGGTGGGTCTTGAAAGTCACCGATTACGGGTTGCCTGCATTTTATGAAGCTCAGAACATAGTGCCGCCGGTGAAAACAGCTCGAGGTGAGTCTCCTTTGCCTCGACTTCTGCTCCGCCTCATTATATCTTCTTCAGTGTACACTCGATGTGATCTTTCGCGAAATAGAATTTTTAAATTAAAACTTATACAAGCAAGAAAGATCATAATAACTCCAACAGAGCCCCTCGAGAATATCATATTATTACAAGTTTATCTTTAGATCTACTTTTAGAATTGAATAAATATTGCATTTCGCGCTCATCAGACGCCATTATCTAAGTGTTTGCGCGCTGTTTAGAAATTTTGCCGAGGTTACTATTACTTAAGTTATAAAGTTTCGCTAATTAAAAGTTAAACTGCGTGCTTTACTAATTGAAGATATTCAGACCGAGAGCCAGGGTTTTGCATTATTTTAGAAGATAGGATTATAGCGGGGGAGTGTGAGAATAGAATAATTAACATAATTGAGCCGCTATTAATTTCGTTAATAATACTGTCGGCTTAATCTGTTGGGTAGACCTGTTATGGACCGCGCCGGAGCTGCTTAGGCATCCGAATTTACAGAAAAAGGGAACCCAGCCGGGGGATGTTTACAGTTTCGGAATTATCATGCAGGAAGTCGTTGTTCGCGGAGAACCATTTTGTATGCTCGCCCTATCTCCGGAAGGTAATGTGTGTGCGAAACTTCTATTAACAAACATTTAAAGTAGCGCGGACATTCTGTTCTTTTCCTATGATATTTCAGATCTGAAATAATAAAATAGATCGAGAAAAATGCGTTTTTTTAATGTCTGTATAATTTTTAATTATACATCTAATAAATTAATGTTGAAAGGACTACCAGCAATTTTTAAGTTATGCTTAGTGCGATAATTACTCCGCAAACGTCTCGTATTACTGCGAATTGCATTTATCGAACAAATAATTATAATATATGAATGAGAAATGAGATAAGAACGAGCCAATTCCTCGTGCGTATCGTTTTCCGATAAAATGATTAACGACACAGACACATAATTAGAACTCCGATTTTACGATTACTATAAATCCAAATCATATTCACTAATTTAATGGCATCGATTATCCAAGAACGCAAGCGTGAAACTTCGAAATCTTGCAACAGTCGGTTGCGGTCGATCGTTAGCGATTTGAAATTCTAACGCTAGAATTTTATAATCGCTACACTCGAGGACCGAAATGTCAGGCGTCGTCTCACGTATCCCGCAGATATAATCGAGAAAGTTATGAAGCCACCGCCCCTGATCAGACCGTCGGTCAGCAAAGGCGCCGCGCCACCGGAAGCCATAAACATTATGCGCCAGTGCTGGGCGGAAACTGCTGAAATGAGGCCCGACTTTGACGACGTGCACGATCTCTTCAAGAAGCTAAATCATGGGAGGTAAAATCGATGTCCGACCATATAATCCCTGAGGCATTGTGCCTTGCGCCCTTAGAGGGGAAATATTAGATGTAACATTGGCCGGAAGTTGAGGGCTGCGCTGTCAAAATCTATTTCTCGCAGATCTAATCACGATTTAATAGCCTTGAACAGTTTTAGCACCGATTATAGAGATTTCTTTGTATTATGAATATTAGGAAAATATATTTTTCTAAAAAATACATAATAAAATAAATTGATTAGACTCTATAAGGTCTTCAATTTCAAAGAAATGTCTTTTTTAAATTAGCTTCGTAAATATCATCAACTTGAGACACGTATATTTTGATAATAATCGAAAAGACATCACCGACAAACCACGCGTGTTATTTTCAGAAAGGTAAACTTCGTGGACACGATGTTTCAAATGCTCGAAAAATACTCGAACAATCTGGAGGAACTCATTCGCGAGCGAACGGAACAGCTTGACATGGAGAAGAAAAAGACCGAGCAATTATTGAATAGAATGTTACCTGGGTAAACAATAGAAACATCTAAAATTTTGTTACTTCATGAAAACAATATTTTTTTTTCTCTCGGAATTGGTCGGATAAAGTTACTGTCGATATCAAAATTTAATAATTCACTTCAATTAGGGTACAGTGGGGTATTTTGAATAGTGGGATAATTTGGATAACAGTAAGTATTTGCAAGAATTTCGGAAAAATAAGAGATTTTAAGATACATTTTATTAGATCAATGTCTGATCTAATAAAATGTATCTTAAAATCTTCTATTTTTCCGAAATTCTTGCAAATGCTTACTGCTATCCAAATTACCCCGCTGTACCCTACCTAAGAATTAGAACTTGAAATTGACAATTTGTCAAAATTCTTTTAAATTGACAAACTGACAATTTTAATATTCCCGGAAAAATGAACGTATTTGACTCGGTGTTTTTAGTTCGGTCGCGGAAAAGCTGAAGCTCGGCATGCCTGTCGATCCCGAAGAGTTTCGCGAGGTCACAATTTATTTCTCAGACATCGTTGGCTTCACGACGATATCCGCGCGCTCGACGCCCTTCCAAGTGGTTGATCTTCTCAACGATCTGTATACTTGCTTCGACGATACGATTAACGCGTACACAGTTTACAAGGTAATCGCAATAAATCATAACTGCGTGGCCATATCGGTTTTTGACAAGTTTATCATACATATAAATAATCTTATTCGTATAAAGATAAAGTAGCATAACATAATTATGTTTACAGAAGAATACATTGCAATATGAAATAATAAGGTTAAATATCAAGCCTAATTTTACGAAGAATACAAATGTACATTTTAAGTGAAAATCGTACTTGTGGATTCAAATTTTGCTTTTCTAAAAATATCCAAAAGTCTTTGAATATTTTTGTGTATATAAATTGTGTTATAACGTTAAACGACATTTTTGTCACAAGACTGTCAGATTCCCGCACTACAGAATGCATGTATTCGAATATCACAGGTGGAAACTATCGGGGATGCCTACATGGTTGTAGGCGGCTGCCCGGTGAGAATACCAGATCATGCCACTCAAGTAGCAACTATGGCGCTTGACCTGTTACATCAGAGTGGAAAATTCAAGCTAAAACACCTTCCGGACACGCCGCTCAGATTACGCATCGGTCTTCACACGGGTTAGATATTCGAATAATTTCTACTTAATTTAATCATCGTTAAAAGTACAATAATCGAAAGATGGAAATTACCTTAAACCTTTTATCTTACTTCGCTTTTTGCTGTTGAAGCTGAAACAAATTATGATAACGATTAATGTCACATCATTTTAATCGACCGATTAATCAATTAACTCTCAATCAACCGTGAAAACTTCGCGATGAAAACATATAAAATTTCATATAAATGATTGAAATCCTCTCTCGTTTGGAGATTTATATCGTCTCTATATTTCACGCTGATTAAATCCGTGCTGAAATAGCAAATCTGGATGACATGCCGACGGCGTTTCTATTATTGGTAACTTCGGCGAAAGAAAAAAGAAAATGTTTTCACGTACCTCGGTCGACGTATTAAGGAAAGGAATTCACTTTTCCTCCCTTGTCAGGCCCGTGCTGTGCCGGCGTGGTAGGTTTAACAATGCCGCGTTATTGCTTATTCGGCGACACGGTGAACACCGCCTCGAGGATGGAGTCGACCGGGGCGCCGTGGCGTATCCATTTGAGCCAGGCGACGAGGGATCGATTGACGCAGGTCGGCGGTTACCACATCGAATACCGCGGGCCCACCGACGTCAAGGGTAAAGGCAAGATGCCGACCTACTGGCTGCTCGGCAAGCAGGGTTTCGACAAGGAGCTCCCCAAGCCGCCACCCCTTAGGTAAGTCGCTCCATCGGCAGCATTTTCCGAATTCCCACCCCACCCCGAGCGCCCCTCTGACTCCCTGCAAGCGCGGGGCTCGTCGACGTGTAAACGTGGCTCGGCCCGTGATTTAACGCTTCGCGCGCATCCGACAGGTCTGATTAAGTTCAATTTATTGCGGCGGGTCCTCTCCCTCTTTTATATTCGACGCCGGGTGTCACCACTCTTTCTTCATTCGTGCTCGTTTTGCCTGGAATGTAACGTGACGAGGGTAGTCGCCAAATAAGTTCCTTGAGCATCTTTTTAGCCTAAGCGAAGCGTGTCGTGCGCCCGAGTCGTCGTCGTCGTCGTCGTCGGAGAAATTAAGGGTCGGATTTAATCAACGAACTTTACCGCGTGTTCCTTTGATTAAGTGTCGGAGAACGCCGAGCGCGGTGGCCGCGGAAGGCGCTCGAGAGTTTTTAATTATGTAACAAATGGGTTGCGGCGCGGCGGGCGGCCCAGTACACACTGTGCGCGTAAAGTTCGTTCCAAACAACCCCGCGCGCGACTCTTACCTCGTATTTTACTACTTATAATTGTCCGACGTTACTCGCGCGAAAGTGATATAACAACGAAAGTTTTCTTTCTTTCTCTCTCTCTCTCTCTCTCTCGCGCGCGCGCATTAACTATTCTTTTATAACACCCGTGGGCAAAAAGTGACCTACTCCTCCGGTATAACGGTGCGTACAAGCGGGGGCAGGAAAGAACCTGGTATATTCTTAAAATTAACGTTTATATTATGCGGGGTGTTTCCGATCTGACGCGCAACCTTTCAGCCGCAGATGGCAGACGCGAATCTAAGAAAAATAGCTGTCTCACGAAACCCGAGGTAGTCAGTTTTATGTTAATGCGCGCGGCGATGGAGAGAGCGCGCGGAGAGAAAATTTAATAATTTCCTCCCACAATTTACGCACAAGTGTAATAAAAATTCAGACCTTCGATCGAGTAATTAATTTCGAAATGGATTTTAATGGAAATTTAATTTGTTACTCGATCTTAAAATTAAATATAACTAAAATACATATTTATACTGCGAGGTACTAATTGAAATGCATCATAAATTAAATTAATTGGATTTTATTAGTCGTTTAACGATGTGTGATAATCTGATAATTTGAATATGTGGCGCAGGTAAATTTGATTAAAAAGGCGTCAGTTTGTTTCCATTCATACTCTTCTCGCATTTTTTTAATACAGTTTTATTCGCACTATTTGATTTCCAGATATTTAATGCTTTTATCTGTTGCTATTATGCTGCTCAGAGAGAACCATGGGTAAGTAGATTCGCATATAAATAATTCAACATTCAAATTGATCACATTGTTGCTTTATGTTGAATAAATCTAGTCGCATACCGATGTAGCAAAAATTTGAACCTTAATTTCAATATCATCTGCCTAACATATTTCGCATGATCGTTTATTAAATTCTTTTTTTTTGTCTAAGCGTTAAAAAAAATCAGGAATTTTTATATAAAAAGTTGATCGCCGACTTTTATCAGCCAGTTACGAGCAACGTGGACTAAAATGAGAATGCAAAAACGCGGCGCATGAATAAACATACACCGGGGACTATCAGAGCATCAAAACGACGTTTACGTCAAAATGTCAATTACTCTAAAAGTTGCCTCCCAGGTCCTTACTTAAAGTTCATTCGTTCGTCGCCTAAAGTTAAAACACCCCTCCCTTCCGTAGTGATGTAATCATATCATTCCTTGGATGCAGCTATAATCACTTTTACAACTTTCCCGTTTCTGTCAGCTTTTCACGATACCGGGCGCTAAAACCATATGCGGCGTTTCATGAATAAACACACGTATGGAACATCTGGGTCCACTGGTATCGAAATGCCGTTCGCGTCGAAATGTCAATTTACGCGAAAAATTCTCAACGTTTCCGGCATATGAACCATTCGGCGGAAAATAGTGGTATACATAAGCAACGTAAACGTTCGATGCATACCAATTTTCGTGCGCTAGCACTTCGATACGACATGAAGTTTGAGCTCTTTTCCCTTATACAAGATCATAAAAACCTGTAATAAAAATTGCATTTGAAATTTATTGGATTTTCGCAAAACGCGAATATGTATCTTTTATTTTTCTTTCGTTCTTCAAACTCAAAACGCGAAAAATGGCTTACAGCCACTATTCCGTCCAACGGTTCATACATATTTCCCCTGAATTCTCCCGAATTTTCTGAAGGCTCGACGGCAGCCTCATGCTGGGCGGCCACCAGAACGGAATGCCGAGCGAGTTGATGTGTCCGCCGCTACCGATGATCCCGTCGCAGGACGAGACGCACGAGGACGAGGAACTGGCGACTCCTGTCGAGGTCAAACCCGACCGTCAGGACTCCGTCAGCAGCGGAGTCACCAACGGCAGCAGTCGAGCCGCGTCCTTCGAGGAGGCCACCGGCACCAGGAAGGTCGCCGTGTCCGTGCACGACGAGCGCACGTTGTTGCCGAGCTACTCCCTGAAGTCCACCAGCGACTTCATCGAGGTGCTGCAGGGCAAGCAGGACACGGGGGCGACGAGGACGGGCGAGGCGGCCCACGGCGGCATGACCAAGAGCACGTCCGGCGACAACCAGGCCTCCCTCGGCGTGTCGTCCTCGGTATCCAGTGTCGAACCGACCGCGTCGTTCCTCGGCGCGTCCACCAGCTCGCTCACGTCGATCACCAGCTCGGCGGCGTATCGACAGCCGCTGGCGAGGCATCGCCGCTTCGCCGCCGGATGCATCGACGAGAACGACCTCAGCACACCGTACAATCATTACAGATGTCTGTCGCCCAACGAGTCGCATCACGGTACGTGTTCGAACATTTTAATATCTCACGCCAGTCCTTTACTTTTCAAAAAGTCTGAAAGTCCGAAAGTCAAGTTCTTTCAAAATCGATCGATTAATGAAATGTTATTGTTTGTCTTCACAATTTGAAAATTTTTAATTTAAAAATTTGTAATTTTTAGAGAGGAAATTCTTTGAACGTATACGAAGATATTTCAAGATATCTAACTTCAATTTTGAATTATTATATAAAAATGAGACGCGATTTTATATGTACATATAAAGTTTTTTAAATTATTATATTTTATTAAGAAGATATTGGATTATTCAAATATTTTCAATATTCCAAAAATATATGGGACATTCGTCGCATCTGGCATTGATTTTGCGTCCCTAACTGATCGTATAACTTTCTCTGATCTCAGGGAAGAGTCCCGGATGTCGAATGCTCAAGAGGCAGTTTAGCCTGGACCGTCCGGATGAATCGTCGGTGTCCATAATCCCGGAGCAGCCCCAGCCGCGGTTGACTCCTCGTCTCTACAAGCAAAATAGCGCGGGCGCGGCCAACGACTTGGAGAGAATCGAGGAAGTGCCACCGGCCACTCCTAAGTCCCTCCTTCAGAATTACCGTCATGCCGCTTCCGTATCCCTCTCCGTCGAATCCCTATCGTTACGTTAAAAAATCCCCCGTCGAGAGAAGTTTTTACGAGCAGAAAATCGAACATCGATACGACGCGAGTCGCGATACGTGAGCGTGTCGCGTTTGGAGCAGCGCACGATTCACGCGCCAGTAATTGATAAAAAGTCGTGTGAGCAAAAGATATACGAATTCGAGTTTTACGTCTAGCTGTAAGAAAACTACTTTTAAAAAAAAAAAGAGATCTCTGTTAAATCGAGATTAGAACGTTGACGACCACCGATCCTTGACGAGCACGACCGAGATAAAGAAACGTCGACTCGAAAACTCGCAATAATTTGTCTTTGAGGATCGGTATCTTTAAAGACGCATCCATACGCGAATGCGTAAGTGGACGAATGGATTGCCGTGACTCGTTGCTGCTCCGTTTGTATTCTTATCTGAGTGTGTATATTGTATTGATGTCTGATAATACCCGCGGGCAGGGGATCGAACGAACGCAATTTCGCGATTAGAGATTTAATGGTTTTAGGCGTGTGTTATGTAAATCGTTTACAAATCCTCGTTGGTGCAAAGGGAAACTTTCTAGGACTCACGATCAATCCGCTCTTTCCCCCCGACGTGTCTGTACCTGTCTCACATATTTCAACGTTTCATCGATGAACTATACCGCTCAACGACGATGTCATCCACACGATCTTCGATCGCTGAACTAGGCGGCATTCCAGGCAGCACAGACATTTAACGAATCCTCTTGGATACCTATCGAACGTTCAGACGACACGCGATATTCAGGATTCTGAATATTCTGGATGTCCAAGAGGTTCCACTAAATTTCTATGCCTCCACTTGAACTAGATATAACTCAATTCCTTCATTAGAACGTCGAAATCTTAAGCAAATAATGTAAACTTCTCGTTTTCAGATTTTTTCACAATACTGCGTAAGAGCGATCGTTTTTTACCTTGCAAGAATTAAAAATTGTCCCCCCCTCCCACAATTATCAACTGTTTATAGTCGTCAACGATCGTATGCTCTCGTTAGATGTACCTACTTATAAAATGAAGATCTAAAGTCGGTTTTGCTGAGTGGAATTTTAATGTTATAAAATTTCCGCTTCCACGCATTTCTCGTGGAAGGTAAGAAAGTTCCAATTTCATAAATTTAACGTGGATCTTAGGCTATTAACGGAGGCAAGAGGCAGATAACAAAATAACACAAAAGAACAGATATTTAACTAATTGATCAGTCATATTTATAATTTTTTGCTAAATATATCTCGATAAAGAAATTATATTCTTCAAGAAAGAATCGTTGAATATATTGCTCTCTCGTACATGTATAGTCTTTATGTAACAATTTACATTTCGGTCAAAACTCACGATGAACTAATGATGTCAATCGAGAAAGAAAGTTACATAGGAAGTAATTATCTACCATCTCGCGATTATGGCAGCAGAGAAGTACTTCGTCGGTCAGCAGGTACGTAAATATAAATGTGACTATAATATTGTTGTTATTTCCGGCCTAATAATTTCGTGATGGAAGTCCGAAGGAACCCTTGATCTTCGGTGTTGCGCGTTTTATAATAGCGAGTGGATTAACGAGAAGCATCCTCTTAAAGCGTTGCGCGAGAAAAATGGACAATTTAATTATGAATAAATAAAAACTTTATCCACAATTGAATAAAAATGTTACGCGCAAGCAGACAAAGCATAATTATATTTTTACGATAAATCCTACATTTTTTTCGATGTTTTTTATTTTAGATATTTCCAGCATTTGAAAAGTAAAATATTTTTGAATTTGTTCAATTACAGATTTCTTAAATTGAATAAATTTTCTAGCAAATTTTTAAATATTTGTTAATAATTTTTTTATCAACTTTTAAATCAGATTCTATTAAAATACAATTAACTTAAAATTCGGTTTAAAAAAAATACAGTTTATTTATAATTTAAAGCCCAGAGTTATTTAAACAAGTTATTAATTGTGGTCAATTGTAGTTTGCGTTAATGACGACAGTTTTGGGACAATCTGTAAATCTTCGTAAGACTATGGCTTAGATAGTTACAGTATCTTGGAGCCATCTGTGTTAAAGATTCTCTGAAGCCAATATAATCGCATGGATTATGACAGGACGGAGTTATCCAACTGGCTTTCCTAATTCATCGCTTTAGAAAATCTCTTGCGGTCGACGAACGAAAATCAATCTTGCGGCGAGTCACGGGTGACATAAGAGACGATAGACCGGCGACGGAGAAGAACTTTCTTGTTAAACGTTCTCGTGCCAAAGTGAGATTGCCATGCGGCACGGGTTCTCACTTTATGATCGTAAACGCTGGTAATGTGACGCCAAGCGCACGGATGACGGAGTGCGGAGACGTAAACATCCGGAGATCTCGCCAAGTGATCACAATGGACGATACTTCGATCGGCTTCCCGAGTACGAGACGTGCTGTGGCTAAGGGACGTATTTTATTGTCGAGTTGGGACAGTACAGACGTTTTCGATAAAGCTTTCAACTGTTTTATTGATTTCTGCATCCCGATTTGAATGTGACTTCGAAATTGCTATACACGGCGTCGCACACAAAACAATTCGACCACAGAGTTTCTGTAAATGCGAAACATTTGTTATGTTTGATTTTTAATGGTTTTTTTTTTCAATTGTATTAATTTGCGTGAAATTTCCTGTAATATGAATTTATGAATAATCATATGAATATTAGAGAAGACCCGTACTCTCATTTTAACAAAAGCGCGGTCATTCCTTTAGTACAAAGAGGCTTTTGCACTGAATTAAAATGTGTCAATTGTACATTAAAAATTTTCAACATTTGACAATACGAATGTACAGAGCGAGATAAAAATCATAATGAAGATATTATAATTAAATATTCAAAATGTATAACTTTTTAAATCTTCCTCAAAGTATTACAGTCGCTTCGTTCACGGTCGATTTAACGACGTTTAAAGGAGATTACGATAGTAAATTAAACAAAAATAGATGATTAAGAAAATTAGGGAGCCTGACGACGATGAATACGATCCTCAGACACGAATGGCTGATAACAGAGAGGAAAGGCACCTTCTTATCGCGGACGACAATCTCCATTACGCTAATCTCTCGTCTCCTTTGGTATCGTTTCTAACAATCGCGCCGGAATCGGATTATTCCGTTGGGGTCTAGTTTCGCCAAAGCAGTAGCTGTAAGACAAATTCATGTTTTGCATATACTAGAATTCTCGCATATATGTCCGAGCGCGAATATCCATAAACGGATGGTCGGCCAACTTTAAATCAGAATCCCGTATTTGAATTTTTATGTCGGAAAATCCGGATAAAACGCTACTTACGACGTTCGGATATTTTATAACTCTATCGTGAACGTATCGTGTCGCCCATGCATTAACTTTAATTCCAGTCCGATTCTTAAAGCAGCTGCATTCTGATGTCGATGTCCATTCGCAAATCCTTGCAGAATGTATATATATATTGTTTGATAATAATTATGTAAAAATGTAATTAATACTTCATATCCACACGTCCGTCTCCCACATACGTTGTTCGCGTGTCAACATTTCATTATCTTTAGCTTCGTCTGCCTTAGGTTTAGCTTTACTTCTTATAGTGATAATAATTAACTGATTTCACCTTTCGTTATAAATTCGACTGCGAGCACTGTGGCAATATTTTCCTAAATTCTTCTAAACGACTCACGAGATTTTATCACGACTATGTCTGCTTGCCTATCTCAAGATTCAACCTAGCGTTGTATCGGTGCCGCTTTGGCGTGGCACTTTCAATATATAATTCTGTATCCGTAACGACAAATACCAAATACGTATACGATGTTGATTACAATCTCTGACTGTATTCCATGTACAATAATAAGTGTGCGAAGAGAGGGAGCGAAAACGAGACGCGTTGCGTATACTCCTCACGAATAACGTTCATCAAAGCGAGATGGTAAAAAAAAAAAAACCAGTTAGTACGCTATGAACCATTTTCCCGAATCAAAAGAGGATTCCTTTGGGTAAAGGAATCCCCTTTCATCCGCGGTCTATGAGTCTCGAATCAAATACGCTCGTCGAGACAGATTAGCTCTCTCGACGAGCTCACTTGTTTTTATTCCGGGTAGAGAATAAAGCTAATACTATCCGATCTTTTCTAAATCAGCCTCGACGCGGTCGGTGCTAATCCGGACGACAATCGTTAAGGGATATAATCGCATTTTTTTTAACGTCACCGTAACAATAGTTATCCGATCATTTCTCGATGGCTGTCGCGTATAGCTCGCGCGGGAGAAAGAGTCTCTTCGGCAGCTTGAATTTGCGCAAAAAGAGCTCTCTCGCGCGAATAAAGAGATCGGGTTCATATAAATATTCCATTGCTCGGAAAACATCTGCGCAAAATGTGTACACGTGGCCAGGCCCACGTACTCAACGGATATACGTACCTCGATGTAATTCGTGTAGTCACGTAGTCCACTAATGTTAGAAACTTAAGTATAAGTAGCTTGTATCTCGAAACAATTCGCGTTCCATGCGACAGGCATCCTCGGATTGCATACGAATGGATTGTACAATTCCTGGAGATGCTCGATTGACTCATCGCTATCAATATTTTAATTATCTTTTCACTACACGCCCGATATTCAACATCGATAGTTCCACCCACAAATTTTTTTACATTAACATTTCCTCCTATCTTACTTCCATTTCGAGGAGTTTAATAATCTTATTTATCTTACGGTGTATAATATATAAACAGATAGAATATAAAACATAACAAGAAAACATTAATTAAATTTAATTAAAAACATAATTAAACGTAATATTAATAACGAGTGAATGAAGAGTTAAAGAGTCAAAATCAAAATTTTAATTCATTTTATTAAAATTGCTAATTAAAAAGTAGATACTTTTAATATTTAATGCATCTTCTTCAGGAATTTTAAGCTGTCTACTTAATTATTGTTTAATTTCACTCATTTACACCATTGTTATAAAAAAATTAAAAATAATACGTTTGTTAAAACCAAACCAAAGTAAAAGCATGTATGAAAACGTTAATACGTTTTTCACAAGGATGTCTGTCGACCAGTTTATTATAGTGATCATTTGTTATCATTTGTGGCGTAGCAAATATGCACTTGATAGCCACTCATAGATAATTAAATGACAGGACGTAACATCGGAACGCTCAATTTGCTCCACATTTTTTTACATGTTAATTATTATTTAAATTAAATGAGCAAGAAAATTATTATAATTAATAGAATTCTTTTATAAACGATAAACACACATTAAAAAAATCTGTAACCATCGCAAATGGTTGAAATCGTCCGAGGACGAATTGTGCATTCTCATACGTTTTAATATTAATACGCATATTTAACAGATCAATATGGGCTTATGTTTCTCTGTTGAGTACTTAAAACGGCAGGATATTCGCTACGCTACTGGCCATCGTTTCTACACCTGTAGAACTGACCTGTGACACCTGTATCTGACTGTGTGAACAGAAGAGAACTTAATTGTACACGTATGAATGTTACATGTTAAAAGATGTTATTGGAAGAAATTATTATCTAAATACATAGCGTAGAGTGATCGATGGAGACGGTTGGATATTTGTATATTTCAGACGCATCGTGCGATTATATACTCGTTATTAATACTTCAATGTTACTCTTCGTAACATCTTCGGCAATAAAGATAATCATGCGGCCGTAAAATGTGTCCGTTTTCTACCTCTTACGTGAATAGCAATATCCTCTGTCTTCAATAATTCATCGTCGAGAAACGACCGCAGGCTTTGTGTAATTTTCTAATTTACGCAATTCGTTATTAAAATTCTCATAAAGTAAAGTAAGAATTAACGATAAAATTATGTAATTACATATTAATTATATTAATTGTATATGATATAAATCTTTTTTTTTTAATTCTAAAATATTGTGCTCGAAAAGAATTTTAGATTAAAAATAACGTTCTTCTCTGAATTTTTCTCGTGTTTTTCTGAGTAGAAATAAAAGAAGTAAATAATTTTAATAATAAATACGCTACGTGTGTGCGATATTTACAGGCTGTGATTTATTAATCTGTAACATCGGTAACAAAAATAACAATTTCTCTGCTATTACTACCGCTAAATAATCTTATTGTTATCCTTACACTTAAAGTTGGGTGATCTGACTGAGACTCACAATCAACGTGATGCATGCGCAATTATTGGCTGTTCCTAGAATTTCGAGGTAAAGCAAGGAGATCAGACTGATACGTTGTTATTAATGGGAATTGCACTCTGGATTTACCAGCCGCTGCAAAGAAAAATCGAAGAGATGTCAGAGAGATTATCAAGAAATAATTATCCTGAAATCGATTTCTCAATAATAGTTGTAATTTGTATCTTTAGTTATTCATTTAAGCTATGTATTTAATATCTGTTCGAGCAAGTAGAAATAATGTTTCAGTTTTTCTAAATGTCGCGATATACAAATAAAATTTTCTTTTTATCGTCAAACAGAATATAAATCTAACTGCAATAAAGTATATAGATATCGTATTTTAGTGGTACTAATAATTATTAGAGAGGACAGAAGAGATTAGCGACTGGTTTTCCTCACCCGTAAGACGGATCTGGTTGCGACCAGACTGGCGCAGCATACTCGGCATGCGGTTTGTAAATAGGTTTTGGAACAATTCTCTCTATATAAATGGGTTTCTCGACGTACTCCACGTACTTCACCGGTGGTGAGAGGTAGACGTGATGTACTTCCGGTGCACTAAAGTAACCAGCCTTGTAACTGAAAATGAAATAAGAAGTAGTAGTCAAAAAGACATTCTCGTATTACGCAGAAGGTAAAGTACGTTAATTTGACTGTCACGTTGACATAATTTTACACATCGATTGAACAAGATATAAATTTTAGCGTTAGAAAAGAAAATAATGAGATTATATTTCTCGTGACCAAAGTAATATAAATAGCAACTCTATATCATTGAGATACAATATATCTTGCTTTTCTTTTGCAAAATTGAACTCTTATTAATAATCAATTGCAATAATGCAAGAAAAAATAAAACGAAATGAGAGAGAATATAAATTATAAATTTGTTACCCCTTTGCGACGCCAAGACCAAAACCAAGAAGACCGGCTCCGAACAGCTTCTTCTTTAAGAACAACGTTCTCTTTTCTCTGGTGTGTACTTCGCCGCCATCGACCTGATCTTCGATAGCGACGTTTCCGAGGTCCAGCGACTGTTGATTCTGTTGGACAGCCTCTTCCGCCGTTGCTCTCAATACGAGGAAACAACAGACGATGGCGATCATGGTGATGGTAGCGCGATGCATCTGTGTCCACGAAAAACAGATACTTCGTATCTCGCTATCGTATTTACTATCAATTTCTTCGAGTGATATAACAGCATTCACACAAAGTGCAAAACATCTAACACAATTTTATAACAACGTACAAAACTTTATTCAAGTAACACATACACGCGCACATGTTTCAAATAGTATGTGACAAGAATTTAATTCTAATTTTACTTTAATTTTAATTTTAAATGTGAATCACATTTAAAATTAAATACTTTGAGAAAATTTTTAATCCAATAAACTAATCATATAATTTACACTACGCGTCTCTTCGAATGTAACGCTGAGGTGTACGTTTTTTTTTTTTTTTTACGATAAAGTTTCAGTAAAACATAAACTCGTTTTATTTGCCTGCGCGTTGTTGTTTCTTACCATCGAAATCAGAATCGCGATCGACAAGGAAAGCACGTGCAAAGAATTCCACGTGCCTTTTCCCTACAGGATTCTCTTTAATGTCGGGAAACCGATTTTTCGGTGCTTACCTTACGTCTTAGATAATGCACGGTAGGAATCACAGTGACGATACACCACGAGGACCGGCCCGAATACTGCGACTTTGATCAAGGAATCGTTCGATTTTATACCGACTTGCCTACCTCGACCGCTGTTTGCGGCCGGTATAAGCAATTCCGAAACCGTCTCCCCTTCCACGGCGCCGGGAATGGGCGGTTTAATATCGGATTTAGGACGATTAAACCTTATTGTGACACCTGGGAAGCATTATTGCATACATCACGATAACAACATTTCGGCCCGGTGCCACGCCGAGTGGAAGTTCCGTTGGAAATTTCACGAATCTCTTCGGGTTTCCTTAAATGAAGAAAGAGATTTAATCTCTGGCGTGATTAATGTGCTCAAAAAATATCTCGCTTTAGTACAATCAAAGCGTTAATATTTTTCCTATAATATTCAAAGTTTTTAATTATATTTTATCGCCAAAATCCATTATTTATTAAAACATTTAAAGCGAAATAAAGAGAAATAAAAAATAATGAATCACGAATCTCTGTTGAAGCTACGTGAAGTACATAAATAGACTCCAACGTGCCAGTCGACTGTGCATGCAAAGCGATTAATTATACTACACAAATATATCTAAGATGTGCATTCGTTATACTTTTGCATTGCAATATAATATTATTTTTATAATTATAAATGCTATCGTTTCCGTAACGAGGCGGCGCTTCTCTTCTAACAATAAAACGCCATATTTGGCGGTCGCGATGATGCTTTTGCAAGTCCAATGATTTCTATAGAAAACCTGTTCGAGGGTTTCCTCCGTTAGGAAAAATACCATGAAAGAATAATCCATTACTATAACCATCTAGATATCTGGATGGGACTTATATAGACAGAACTTGGCAGATCCGCTTGGAGAGAACGAATTCGAGGAAGTGAAAGAAAGCGGAGAGGTAATAGGAACATGACGCGGACGTTCGCTTCGATTTATCAACCCCGCGCGACGTGACAGGCAGGTAATGCACACTATTGTCAGCTGCAACAAGTAGAGCAACGGAGGAAAGAATGGAAAGACAGAGAAAGAGAGAAAGAAGCGCGAGGAGGAAACAGGGAGAAAGCGAGAGACTGCGCAACGAATTTTCCCATTCTTCCTTCGCGGCGTGTGTTTGCCCCACGTGGCTCGCCTTTCAGCGATACACGTGCTCCCGCCGCACGCAATCGCGCTCGTTACGTTGCGATTTGATATACATATACGCGTAATCATTGGCACGCACGCGGCCACACGCGCGCGCGTACGCGAAATGCGATCGACGACGAGCGAATGACAATGAAACCCGATTCGCGCGCCGCGATCATAATCCGACTTTACGGACGAGGCGACGTCGATCACCAGGTGATCATCGATATACTGCTGGCGTACTTATAGGCATTACAGCATTGTGGATATCTTGTCGCAATAAAGCTGGCGTGAATGTTTCTCGTAATGGTATAGCGATGACTTTAATTTATCGAGAAGAAATATAAAACTTATACAATAAATATAAAATTAATGAGCTCTCATTTAAAATCTCGTGTTAACGAGTTTACAATGCATCTATTGCAATACGATTAATCGGTAAAATGATTGCACGTGCGATACTTGTTAACAAATATCAATTTCTTTCCTGAAAGATATCGCGTTTCATCGAGTTCTCCATTATCCTGCATTTTACACTTCGCGCTCCTTTTATTTTATAAATTAAATTTATTAAAATTTTTGAATTATATTAAATTTGTGTTTAAAAGTTAAAGCGTAAATTCTGATTCTTCAAAAAAAAATAGTTTTCTGTTTTGGCACATGGACTTAAATCCTAAGCCTAATTCCACCGCTGGACAGGATCAGGCTGGTATACCGGTGGGAGATGACACGCGACGCAATTCGGTAATCGACGTAGAAAGTGTCCGAGAGTAAGAGCGAGCTTTCGCAAGCAGAACGTGAAGAAGGCGCGAAATTTCACCGGGTCGCGAAGGTCGCCGCGAGGTATTTCCAATATTTTTTCGACGCTATCCCCGCTCTAAGGGTCGTACCCCTCAGTCCCAACGCGGTGGAAGACGTGCCTCCACGTCTCGCAAGTACAAGTCTCGTTGGAAACTGACAGGCCATTTGTGCGGGGAGATTAGCATGGAAATGGAAGTTCACTCCGCGCTCTAATAAGAGACGCTTCCGTGCCGGAGGTATAGACAGCTTGTCGGGACAAAGAAAAGTTCACCATTTTTGCTATCCTTTAAATTGCATTCCGAGAAATAAATATGTTGCTTGTTACGAATTACAATTCCCCCGTACTCAAATTGCTTTTGCAATTCTGATATTTTATTTATAACAATATTAATATTCTATATGAAATTTAATATAATTTAACATAAAATTAAAATTAAAATTATATTAAATATTAAATCTAGTAATTAATATACTAAACTCTTTTTATAACATATAAAGCTTAAATAAAAAATGTTTTTTTTATTATTATATAATTTAAAATGAACTTGAATTCTTAACGAGATTTTATATCGAAATTGAGATTCAAAAATTTGCTGAGTGTGAAAATAGACATGCGGGAATTTTAAAGAATATAGCAGGTAGAAATACGGCACTCTCCTTTGAAGAACTTCATGTCTCATACTCGCGTAGAAGAGGCTTCATAAAGGAAACGTAATGATCCAAACCGCACACACAATGCGTTTGTACATACATGTCGGAACGTGAAACGCGACCGAAACTGCGCCGTGCAGCAAATCGACCACGCACGTACTAAATTCGATATTCACTTTTCGCTTTGTATTCCTCTTCGGCACTCTCTCCCGAGAGAAAAGCGACGTTTCACGACATCCGCGAACCTGTATAGTTCACCACAAAAACTCCGCATGCCGCGACTACAGAGTGGCTTCATAAATAATTTATCAGGCCGACATTTTCGCGCGTTTTTTTACGAGAGGTGGTCGCTTAATTAAAAAAAGTTTCTTTTCGAAAAATTGTAAACTGAGATCCTCCCTCCGTGCTCCGGTGCGAATGTATGCTGTTATTCATCGGGCACCTCGAGGACCGTGGATTACGCAATCTATAACTATATCTAAGCGTCTAGACGCTTTAGAACGTCCATCTGTCTAGGCAACCGATTGTCTAGACGTGCTATTGAAACTACGTGTCCCGGCATACATATTTTGGCAATGACGTATCCGCAGAGTGAAATCAATCGCAGTGCGCCCGACATCGATTCCAAGTGCGTGTTTGACTTCCCAAATAGAACGTTGCACAATGGCGCTATCGGTTAAATCTCGCGATCAGTGTTACCTTTGATCATCGAAGAAACAGTTCGCACTGTGCTGAAATTGTGAAAATCTATAAAAGCATGTTGAAGTAATTAGGAAATGTGACGTAAAACTATATATAAATTATAACACAGTGCATTTACATCAAATTAAAATAATTTGAAAAATGTTTAAAGAAAATTATTGAATTAAATAGAAAGTAATTCAATTGAAATAATCTCGAATTTTGTAAATAATTTATTAATAATAAATAATAATTTTATATTGAACAATAATTATAAAGGTTCAATATAATATTATAATTTTTCCTATTTCCTTCATGTAAAATGTTAAAATTGTATATACATTAATATCTTAACTTTTTGAAAAATCTTCTATAATAATATAATACTTGTGTTAGAGTAAGTTTGCAATAATATTTGTTATTTTTATTAGCGTAAACCTTAAATATTTATCATTCATTTCTCATTTTCGAGATAGTTTTAATTTTAGCGTGGCTTATGGTTTATTAATTGTTTCGGCTGGATATTGAAGAGCGATGCGATGGAATGAACGATATGTCTTAAATCAAGTCTTTATATTCGGGCACAAACTAAGTTCGATTTATTTGATTGTCTTACAATAGTGTTCACACGTTCGCGTAGAACGTTCACTGCGTCCGCCAGCCGAATTATTATTTCTCATTATTTGTCGGTCACCAGTCAAATTCAGTCTCCTTGATATTTAAATGTCTCTTTGGTTTGACTACTATTTATAAGGAGACATTTAAATATCAAACCCTAGTATTGTTATACTTTCTTTTCAGCGCTTACAATTTGTAATTATTATTTATTTTATTATTTGACGCGTACAGCATTACGATTATGTACAGATAAACGTTCGCCGCACTAAGTCTATGCAATTTAGTAAAAATCGGTTTTATAAATCCACGTCGTTATTTTCCTATCTATTCACCAACGACCTAACTGTCTCCTGTATCTGTCTCCTTCTGTTTTTGCTAAGTTTATGCTGTCATTTTTTGCTTCGACCTAACAGCTGATCGGTTCCGCGAATTCATCTGCCTGAATACGTTTAACTGCTTCCTTATATTCTTGTTTAAGTTTTTATGCAAATTGAATTTTATAATTAAAAGAATATTTTACGTAGATTAAATTTTACAATTAGTTAGGGTAGAGATCCAATCGCCACATAGTCATAAAAATATACATATGTAATATTTCAAACAACCAGGTAATTAAGGATTTTTCCTCAGATGAGGCAAAAATCAAATAATTTCTATTCGTCTGTAATTGGAAAAAAAATCAGAAAATAAAAATTCTCAATAAATGTAAAATACAGCTGCGATTATGGAACTATATTCGCTCTCGTCGAGTTTTCTACGCTTAATCAAATGATTTAGTCAAAGAATAAATTTAATTTAATTCTATTTAATCTCGTTTTAAAAGAATTTTGATAACGTAAGGCTATAACATTTCATCGTTATCATTAGGTCGAGCTAAATTAAAGTCAAGTATTTCGTCCGATGTTAAAAAACGGACGTCGCTGTCTTCTGAGAGCGCCGATCCGCTCGCTCCTCTCTTATAAGTTTTTCTCCTCCTGATAACGATAATCACAATCGCCATGGAGAGCAAGACCAAAGTTACACACACTCCGGCGACGATCATCAGTATTTCGATGCCTCTATCTTGTTTCATCTTTCTCGGATTCTGCTCCATATTGTGTAGATCTGCAAATTTTTCTTATCGTTAATAAACAGCCCATATATAGTCCTAGCAACACAAATTTATTGTCGAAAAATGTCGACATTTTAAATCATTAAATTAATTAGATTTAAATACAATAGTTCACATATTATAGTGAGTAATTAGAGTTTCTTTTAAATAATTAAATTTATTTATCTCAAGACTTATTATTTATGTAAAAATTAATTTTTTTTCCCTCATTATCAGCCAATAATTGTAATACATACAGAAAAGGATCAATCTTAAAATATATGTATAGATGTAAAACATTTCTATGTAGGTTTAATTGAATAAGTATTCATAAATACATTTAAAATAAAATTAAATAAAGAGAGAAAAAAGAGCGGTGCACTCAAAACTTGAGAAAATTTTAGATGCATTATAAATCTGTAATGCATTCCTCAAAACTGGTAAATCTATACTTTAACTTTTCCACTCACTACGGACTCTTTTCAATAACTAAACCAGACCGAGAAGACCCATCGCGATTTAATATCAGATAATCTTTCTTTATACTCTCTTTATTCTCTCTCTCTCTCTCTCTCTCTCGATATATATATATATATATATATATAATAAAAGAAATATACCTAATCGATCCTCAAGTTCTACATATTTTGTTGTCGAAGTCATCTTGGATACGAAAGGCGTTTCCTTCATTTCCGTCTGCTGCGTTATTGTTCGCAAGGGTTTCATAGTTTGACTCTTGACTGTTACAACCGAAGGCATACTTCGTCTTCGCGTTGTAGCCGTCGTCGTTGTTCTTCGCGGTGTGATCGACGAGTTGGACACACCTGGGTCGATGTCATCCTTCGGATTTATAGGAAATCCTGTCAGAGTGGAATTCTTCGCCGGTGCAACCGTCGCCTTACTCGGCGACCCCGTCGTGATATTATCGTACATTGTGACTCCTGCAATCGTAATTAAATTTTATAATTCGATCCGATTCGATCGACCGATCCCAATATAGCATCCCGTCAAAACACATCCCCATTGAGAATCCTATTAAATTAGTAAACAGTTACCCAGTATGCAATATTCAGGATAATCTGGGCAGCAAATAGAGCGGACCATACAATCGATCGTGCAAAGGCAACTCTCCGGCCCAAATGACGGGGCGGAAGGAGCAATGCTTTCCGTCCAAACGCATCTGTCCCGACAGGTTTGTTGCGCGTTAACTATTTCGATTTGATCTAAAACAGATTTTTCAGAATAGATATTTGTCTGTTGCTCTCTCTTTGTCCTATCTGTGCGTACAACATTTTTTTTACAATCTAATATTTCTGTGTATTAAGATATAATTAAATTTTTAATACTTTTTTAAATTGCTATGGAAATTGATATCACATTGTAAAAAAAAAAATATTTGCAAAATTTGTTCAAATATTTTAATGGCCTGTACATTTTTATTTTGTTGCAAGGCTGAAATCGTTGAAATAAAACTGCGACATTTGGAGTTGACAGTGATCGTCGCGCCACTGAAATATTTTACGTGAAATTCATTTTAGAAGAATTTAACCCAAACACGTTATTTTTTGCAAATATTTTTTCAAAATTTTGTCGATAAATCTATATGACGCAATTACTCTACCGCAAAATATATCAATTGAACTATATTCAATAAAAATTAATTTAAAAAATAGATAAAATTTACCTTCATTGCTTACGGTCACGCTGGTAGACTCGTTTTTAACAATACACTCATCCCCTTGTAAAACAGCGACATCGTCTATCGCGATATCACTCACGTAAGTACTACCTCGTACTCCTTCTATGACAATCTGTAAAGAATAATCAAATTTTTTTAAATTCGAAACTTAATACTGAAATTATAATTATCTATTAACGAGACAAGCAAATCGAATTTAAACATTCAAAATATATATGGAAGGCTCAGCAGGAATTTCTGATTTCGTATTAGACTTAAGATATTTTAATGATTATATTATGACTTGCGTGAATGTGCTTAAATGCTTAAAAGTTATGTGCAGATGGGTGAGTATGCGTGTATTCGTGTATGCGTGGTTATATATTTCTGCCGGTATACTGCTACTCTTATAATGTCCTGTGTATATAGATGCGTGGTGTACGTAAGTATTTCTGCCGGTATACTGCTATTCTTATAATGTTCTGTGTATATAGATGCGTGGTGTACGTATGTATTTCTGCCGTATACTGCTATTCTTGTAATGTCCTGCCATAAATATTGCAAATTAGACTTACTTAGGATTCTTAGGAATACTATTTTATACTAAATGCTTATTTTATGCTAAAACAGGTAGGCATAATAGCAGCATTTCGCTGACGCCTAGCTTTTGCTACTGTAATATTCTTGTATTCTCATTATGTATATGTATTAGTGCAATAGCAAAAAATAATAATTATTATTATTATTTTTATTTTTATTATTATTAAACATTACATTTTCGCATAAACAATGTTCCAATAGTCCAAAAGCCTAATTTAATTATATAAAGAATAAGATTGAAACCACACATCTACCTGAAAGCTGACATTAGTTTTCGGTAGATTGGAAATGCCATGAAGCCACTGATTTCCTTGATTTCCACTTTTGGTGAATATTAATTGAAGCGGAGCATTCTCTTGCTTGAAATATATATTCAATGAGCCGATTGTGGCACCATACATATGATACCTATCGAAACAATTTATAAACTATTAATAAATGAAATATAAAGTTTTATGAAATTATTCATTACATGAGTTTTATTTTAATATAATACAAATTAAATGTTGAAATTTTCTCAAATTTTAAATACGCCGCATTTCCCTCTTTATTTCATTCTATTTTATTCCATTTTATTTTGATAAATTTATGAATATTTTATTCAACTAAACATAGATAGAAATACTTTTAAAAAATTTAATTTATATTCAAAAAAATATGATGGTAAACTCAAGTATAAAATATATAGATAGAAATAATTTTAAAAAATTTAATTTATGTTCAAAAAAATATGACGGTAAACTCAAGTATAAAAACTTATAAATTAAAGCAATATTGTATTTTATCACCAGAATGAAAAACATCCTGATTCAGTCAATGAGGAATTATATAACGGAGATATAATTCTCGCCGTGTCGTTCACTAATCGTCCGGATGCCTCGATATAAAGATAATGTCCTGAAATCACCAAGTGAGTGTGTTTATTCGGAAAAAAAAACAATTTATTTCCTTTCTTTATTAGTCTAATCTAGCATTCCAACTAAATGTTGACGTCATACGAAGATACGTACCCTCGTTTCCGGCTCCCAGAGTATGGTCGTGCGTAGGACCGGTGCCGATATGTAAAGACGGTGTCTCAAAGTTATGACGTTTCCAATCGAAATCGTGCAATGGATCCTGTTCCCACCAGCAAAGATCCGGGTTTTCAAAATCGCATTTTGTCGGCGCGGGTACGTTCGCCACTTATCATAAATTATTACAAAGAACGTTGCATTAACGCGAATAAAACTTGCGACGTTATTGTCACACAAAGAGAAAAGATTGGAAAAATTAAATTAATTAAAATTAAGAGAAAAAAATTTGAAAAGAGAAAGAAAAAGGATAAAAGCAATACGTGCAGTTATTTAAAAATAAATATGTACAGTGGCGGACAAAAGTAAGTTTAAAGTCGATATCCGCGTGTATATGAGTATTGTAACTTTAATACTAGATTGTTTTTTGTAATATTAAACACACTGAACTGTTCCGCGGCATCTCACCACTTTAAACGACGTAGAATTTCTTTCGTTTATTCCACTTTTCTTGCATTGTTCATTAAATAATCTATTTTATTCGAAATTTCCGGCGGCAAAAGTAAGTTTAAAATACATATTTTATAATAAACTACTAAAAATTTTGTTGATTTTTCTCTTTCTGTATATATTTTGTTTTTTCTAGCTTGTTCATTTTTAATTACCTACATAGATGAATGGAAGTAATAAAAGAAAATCCGTCGATGTTAAACAGATGATAGTTAAGGATAGAAAAAAATGGCCTAGGATTCAAAGAAAATTCAAAAAGATACGAAATTTCCATGATGAAGGCGTAAAGAAAATTTATGACAAATACGGTAAATGATTTAGTAAAATTTGGTAAATCAAGAAAAACATCGATGAGAGATGACAGGATGATAATTCGAGAAGTAAAAAAAAATTCCATTATATCAGCTCGAGTTATCAAAGAAAATTTACATTTTGTTCACATACATAAAAGAATAGTGAGAATCAAGCTAAGGAGATTAAGCGAAAATAAATTAAAAAATTACAATAGCAAGAAAGAAACCTTTTATTAACGCTAAAAATAAAAAAACCTCTATTATTTGCATAAACAATATATATTACTAAGCTTTATCATTTTGGAAACGTATTATATGATTTGACGAATCTAAATTTGAGCTAACGAACAAAAAGAAACGGAAAATCTAAGCTTACTATTTAATAAATAGAATACATTTTTTTTATTTTTACCAATACGCATATACATGGGTACCGACTGCTTTGAACTTACTTTTACTCTGCCACTATATACCTATTGCAAACTGCGCGAATGCGATGCATGAAGCACCTCAGTAGCAAAAATTAAGTAATTATTTGATCCTCTGCTAAAAATAAATAAATAAATAAAAATAATAAATTTTTGTTTTACAGGACCCTGTGACTCTATTGTAAATTCCAGTGCATTTATCAAGCGGATGAAGCAATAATAATAAAATAAAATTAATTCTTTATTGCAATACTTCGACAACTAGGAATCGTTCCATTCCACTTGCGTCCGTCGCAATAAATTTCAGCGTTGCCGATCAGGGTGTAACCAAATTCGCAGAAAAACATCAATATTGCGCCATTCAATTTCTCTGCCATAATTGCATGTTTTGGAGTCGTCGGTACGGGACATTCCGCGTCTAAATGTCAAAAAGATAAATCATATCTACCAATCGCGTATTATTCCATTTAAAAACTTTACATCGTTGCATTTAATATATATCTAGTGTTACATTTCCTTCATTAAAACCGATTGAAATGTATTGACAGCGCAAGCTAAAGGATGCTAAATATTTTAATCAGAATATGAACTAATTAAATATATAAAAACACGTGTGTCGAATAGAAGAATGCGACAAAATAATCGCATCCATAACGTGTGACACATGTGTTTTTATATATTTTAGTTCACATTCTGATTAAAATATTTAGCATCCTTTAGCTTGCGAACAATAAAAAATGGAACAAAGAGAATACATTACGTGTAAGACTTTATAACTTTGCTTCTTCCTCGAAGCTGCAGAATTTGTTGGTAGATACTTTGTTAGGAGAACTTGTTAAGAGAATTCCTGCATCTCTCTCCAGATATTTAATTATTAAAGATTATTAAACTATTTTGAGAAAGACGATCGATCATGAAGAAACGCGGCAGACGTACGTCGCGTATCATACAACGTACGTCAGCATTTTCCGATTAATAGTTTTACTAGCTATTCTTACGTCAAATTTTACTTACTCACACATACGGGAGCAGGGGTATCCCATTCGCCACGTACGCACGTGGCATACCTGTTGCCCACAAGTGTGTATCCATCGTGACAACTAAACCTTAAGATTCTACCTCGACCCCGATTACGAATTTTTCCGTTAGTCAGTCGTATCTGGGGACATCCGCGGGACGACGAACCTGAAAGGAAATGATTTTACGATACGCCGTTAAACGTAGGGCTTCTAAGTATTCGGATATCCGAGATCGATTCAATTCGATTCTCAAAACCGGATTATTCCGATTATTCGGGTGATCCGGATATCCGAATTATTTGGATCCGAATCTGAGTTAGGATCCGAATCTAAATTCGGATAAAATACAATACATCCACAATGTATTTTATTTTATTATAATTTTAAAATAACATAAATTTGCTTTGTGAAAAATGCATTTTAATTTATTTATTATATTTAAAGCTATACCCATCTAGCTATAAAACATTTTTTCACTCTCATATTTAGTTATCGAATCCAAATCCGCTACAACTTAAATTTGATTTTGAATCTAAATTTATTGCAAATCCAGATTCGAATTTGAAATACGGATCCAGATCCGATACTTTTATTATTCGGGTATCCGGATAACGCGAATTTGAAGCGTCATATTTATTCGCAATCTGGATAAACGGATATCCGGATAGCGTCAAATCCGAACGAATCTTAAAGCCCTACGTTAAAGGCATGTCATAAATCATCAATTTATAAATCGATCCGATTCTAACCAAGTCCGCAGAAGTAATTGTAATAGTCGGAATAGATTTATTTATAAAACTGTAGCACCTTTTAATGTAATAAGATTAATAATAATATAAGATATATTAAAAATGCAATAAAACAAGAATTTATAATATTACCAATCAATTGTAATATTTATTATTAATTTTTCTACTAAAGCGAACATGTCGCAATAATAACATAGTGAAATATACATTAGTTATTTATTGCGTCAGTTATTAGATGCGCGTATTTGCTTTTAAATTAATATTTTCTAAATTTGTCTCGTGAGTATAAAGGGATGGCAATTCAATCGCGAGCGTAATAACAATTTTCTGTTAAAAACAATTTCTCTCGTGGATAGTAATCTGTAACCATTAAAGATTCGAAACAACTCTCGCTATCAATTTTATAGGAAAATGTTGCTCTTGTTGCGCGACTCGCTCCGCTTTCTGTTTCATTCGAATTTTAATTGTTTCATCGAAGATACGTGTTATTTTTCATTATTTCTGCTTACTCTGCTGCCAAGAGTAATCGAGGCATTGACCGAAGAAAGCGAGTAGCAGTATCATCGACGAATATTCCATCTTCATGCGAGTATACAGAATGCGCGTAAAATGTACATGTAACTGTCGCGTGCACAACAAAATTAAGTCACTGAGAAATCTTAACGAATTTTTATTCCGAGATTTATTCCGCTATTCAATTAGACAGATGTATCTTATTTCGAGAGCAAAGACGCACACCGCCACTATGTCGGAATAATACGCGAAATGTTATGCGGTGTTAAATACTTCCGGCTTTATAAATACTTCACGCACGATAATCACAGCGACGCGAGGAAGATCTCGACAAAGAGAACAACGGGTTTACACCATTAAGCGCGGCGACGACATAAATGGAACTTATTTGGGATACATTTGGGGCTGCATTTGTAGCCGAGGGCGGGAACACAGTTTCCGCACGAGAGCGATAGTTCTATCGTGCTTCCGCTGTTTTTATCTTCGTCGCGCGTCGCCAGGCCTTGAGGAAAATCCCTGGAGATTGTATTTCGCGCGAAACATGTTCGGCGCCAATTCGATAATCTTGATTCGGGGATACGAACTTTTCGACCTCGGACTGTCTGAGAGTCTCTACCGACGATTTATTCGCCCATGATCTCGTGATCTCGGGCTCAGAAAGACCTCAAATTCCACGAAGCCCTGATCCAGATAGGTTCGTCGAAGAAATATTATTATCCATTTGTTCCAGTAATTCTTCCCATTTAAATCAACTCATTTTATATTTCGATTTCCCCTACTTAATTAATGACGTAAATTCTTTTATTTTTGTCTCTACATCACACATTTTTACGAAATGTACTTCTTTTATAACAAAATTCAATTGTCGCTAATCTTTTGTTACAATCTCTACAAATGCTAATTTACTTTTAATTATAAATACACAAAGAGAGAGAGAGAGAGAGAGAGAGAGAGAGGGAAAACAAAAAATATGATAGTAAGAAAAAATTGTTCGTTTTTGAAGCAGTCGACGGATATGCAAACAAATTTGGAGAGCTTTTTAAAATGCAGTTGCGCATCTTTAAAAAAATTATTTTTACAGAAATTATTTTATTATAATTTTATTTATCTGAGCAAGGAAAGGTTTATGGCGTTCTAAGCAAACACTAATCTGAAGCCTCTTTAGCTCAGTGGTAGAGCACTGGTCTCGTAAACCAGGGGTCGTGAGTTCAAACCTCACAGGAGGCAACTTTTTTTTGCGTTTTATGTATAAGTATTGCAAATAAGTTATTTTTTACCAAAACTAAAATGAGCGCAACGGAACATCATTAATTTCCCGATATGACCAATTTTTTAATTACAGTAAAAAACGATTTTTAATTTATTTGTGCATATAGGTACATGTATGCGTGTATTTCTGCGCACATTTCCCTTCTTCCATTTAAATTTTGATATTTAAAAAATTTTTAATTTATAAATTTATGAATTAAAATGTAAGAAAAGATTTTTTATTAAAAATTTTAATTTAATTTAATTTAATTTTAGTTAATTGTAAATTTTTAATTCAAATTAAATTCTAAATAATTTATAGATTTAAGATTGTTTTTGAACTAAGAATTAATTAAAATTTCATAATTTTTCTAAAATTATCATGCTTCACGACTTAAAATTCTCTGATATCTATTTGACATTTATGAAGGATCAAATATACAAGAAATCCGAAATAAATAGCAGCATAGATAAGATTAAAATTAATCGATAAAAAATACACAAAGTTTTGCAGTTTTAATTAATAATCATCGAGGCACGAATATCTAAATACGCGGCTGATGGTCGGAAGCGCCGGTAACGGGATAGCGTCGAAACTTCGATGAAAGAGTGTATATACGTTCAAAACCTACCGTTACCTACGTAACCTATCAACCTATGCCCAACGTGACCGGTGTCAGCGCCACATGTTAACCGGCATTGTCGCGAAGGCCGCGTCGTCTCCTGCTGCGTATTGTTTTCGACAATTTCGACCGTTCGAGGTGACTGCGTGTGACATACGTTCGGCAAGATGAGCAACGATTTGCCGTATCTGGTGGAATACGCGAAGAGCGATCGGTCCAAGTGCCAATTATGCAAGCAGCAGATCAGGATGCAGAGCCTGAGGCTCGCCGCCGTTGTTCAGGTATGTCACGCCTCGGATTTTGCGACGGAGAAACCGCGCGAATGAATGGCGCGTCGTTATGCCCCGACGAGTACTTCAATCTCCGAAGATCAACGGCGAGATGATACATTTCCCGCTATGCGACACGAATGCGTGCGTTTGTCATTGAACTATCGATCTCTTGTAATGATAACGCACCCGGTGGCGTCGTTCTAATTAATTGCGTCACCTGCTATCGCTATCGCGACACTGTTGATTATTCAGTTATTTTATCTGTGTGCACTTGCTTTGCAGAACATTTCCTCTCTTTTTTTTCGTTTTACTCCACCGGCTGGTGGATTATAGCGCCTTAAACCTTTTTGCAAGGTTACATAGCGCCGGAACATTTCTTTGTTCCGTTCAGATTATAAAATAAAATATATAAATGTATATAAACACACGTTTTCCACTATGTCACTTTGAAAGCTAAACAATTTATCCCTTTCCCTGCAACGTAAAATCGATACGCTCTTCTTATTGCTTTGTTTTTATTTTAGGCCATAAATTAAATAAACCTAATAAATTGTGTGTTATATTAAAAGATTCTCTGATTTTCTGTATTCTTGAGACATTTTTATAGCATATAAAAGAATGAGACTTGTTGAAATAAAAATATTTATAATATTTTTAGAGCCCTGTTCATGATGGAAAGATACCTAAATGGTATCACTTCAAATGCTTCTTCACGAAACAAAGACCAAAGTCTACTGATGACATAGCTCGTTTCGATGAGATTCGCAACACTGATCAAGATGCAATTCGAAAAAAACTTGGTTGGTATTCGACCTAAATAGAATCTATAATTTTTTTAACTAATTTATTTTATCATCTTGGCTATTTCTTATATTTTTGCATGCAGAGGAATCTCAGAAGGCACCTGCTGCTCAACCAAAAGGAAAGAAAAGGACAAAAGGTGGCAAAGGCTCTGGAGATTTCAGAGTGGAATATGCCAAGTCTAGCAGATCCACCTGTATAGGATGCCAAGAAAAGATTGTGAAAGGCGAAACAAGAATAGCGAAGAAGGATTACGAGACCGAGGAAGCTAGGAGGTTTGGTGGTATGGACAGATGGCATCATGTGGAGTGCTTCGCGAAATTAAGAGCCGATTTGGGATATTATGGGCGAGGAGATGAGCTTCCAGGTGCCGCAGAGCTCTCGAAAGAAGATCTAGAAAGCCTCAAGGCTTCATTGCCCAAAATGAATCAGGGTGACATACCACCACCTCCTAAAAAGATTAAGGATGAACCAGAAGACGCAGAAGAGGAAAAGTTAATGAAAAAACAAAATGAACAGCTGTACGCTATAAAGGATAAAATATCATGCCTGGAAAAGAAAGAGATGATGGAATTATTGGCAGAAAATAATCAGGAGGTTCCATCTGGCGTATCAAATGTAAGTATATATTTATAATATATATTACAACACTTAATAAATATTTTTTCCTTTAATAATAAATTTATTTAATACATGACTTTTAAGCAGGTTTATTATATCACTTTAATTGAATTTTTATTTATAGATCACAAGTCTTTTGTCTGATATACTATGTTTTGGAGCTCTACAACCCTGTCCAAAATGTAAAGGACAACTCATATATAAATCTGGTGTGGGTTATAAGTGCACTGGCAATGTAACGGAATGGGCTAAATGCGAGTATGTTACACAAGATCCAAAAAGAAAAAAATGCGAAATACCAAGTGACATGAAGGAAGATTTTCCGATTAAGTAAGTTCTCTCATCAGACAATGTGGAACTTAATGAATTAATTCTATGCACTTCTTTATTTCAATATTAATAAATACATTATAAAGATAATTCATTAATAATCGTGATTTGTTCTCAGGTCGTACAAGTCCAAGGTAAAAAAACGAATATTTAAAGTAACAATGCCGTCATCTTCAAGTTCCGTTAAAAAAGAGGAAGATGAAGCGGATGGACCGAAGGTACAAGGAAAGCCACGTCCTTTGAAGAACATGCAGTTCGTTATATTAGGTAAAACGCAGAAAGATAAAGAGGAATTGAAAAAGGAAATTTCACTGTTGGGTGGTACCGTTACAACAAAAATCCATCAAGATTTGGCAGCGGTAATTTCGAATCAGGCGGAGGTGGATAAAATGAATAAGAGAATGGAAGATGTTCAGGCACACGACATTCAAGTGATAACGGAGGATTTTGTAGAAGAAGCGAAAGAGTATACAGACGCTCCTGTCATGCTCCTAAAGAAGAAGACTATTTCTAGCTGGGGTGGCGATGTTAACGCTCGACTTTCCAATGTCATCGCAAAATCCGCCTCCAAGAGTAAGAGCAGATTTGAGAAATCGGTTTCCGGTAAGGTAAAGGTAAAGGTGAAGGGCGGCGGGGCTGTTGATCCCGATAGCGGTCTGGATGATCTCGCGCACATTTATCAACGGGGCAAAGATAAGTACACCGTGACTTTAGGTCTGACGGACATACAGTCGAAGAAGAACAGTTACTACAAGATGCAAATTCTGAAGCATGACCATCGCGAGACGTATCACCTGTTCAGAAGCTGGGGCCGAATCGGCACCACAATTGGCGGTAACAAGTTGGAAAGAATGTCCTTGGAAGAGTGTATAGAGCAGTTCGAATCGTTGTACGAGGAGAAGACGGGCAACGAGTGGAAGAATAGAGAGCACTTCGTCAAGGTACCGAATTGTATGTATCCGATCGACATAGACCACGGGGATCAGGAGGTTGCCTCCCTGGATTCGGATATCAAGAGTAACCTGCAGAAACCGATTCAGGACCTGATGCGCCTTATCTTCGACGTGGCCGAGATGAAGAAGGTCATGCTGGAGTTCGAGATAGACATGGAGAAGATGCCGCTCGGGAAGTTGTCCAAGAAACAAATTGACAAAGCTTACGCCGTTTTAACGCAACTGCAGGAGATACTGAAGAAGAGCAACGTGGACCGCACCGCGCTGATCGACGCCTCCAACAGATTCTACACGCTGATACCGCACAACTTCGGGGTCTCCGGACCGAAGATTCTCGAATCGCCGGAGGAGATTCGTGCCAAATGCGACATGCTGGACGCGCTGCTCGAGATGGAGATCGCGTACAATCTTCTGTCCTCCGACAAGACCAACGAGAAGGAGAATCCGCTCGACGTGCATTACAAGCAGCTGAAGACCAACATCGACGTGCTGGACAAGACGAGCGAGGAGTTCAAGATGATCGAGAAGTACGTCAAGAACACCCACGCGGCCACTCACACGCAGTACGATCTCGAGATCGCGGAGGTGTTTGTCGTCAGGAGGAACGGCGAGGAGCAGAGGTACAAGCCCTTCAAGAAATTGCCCAACCGAAAGCTGCTCTGGCACGGATCCAGAACTACGAATTACGCCGGGATACTGTCGCAGGGTCTGCGTATCGCGCCGCCGGAGGCGCCCGTCACCGGTTACATGTTCGGCAAGGGTATATACTTCGCCGATATGGTGTCCAAGTCCGCGAATTATTGCTGTACGCACAGCCAGAATCCGACCGGTTTGCTGCTGCTTTGCGAGGTCGCTTTGGGCAATATTTACGAGAGGTATCAAGCGGATTACATCGAGAAGCTGCCGAAAGGGAAGCATTCGACGATGGGTCGTGGCCAGACGCATCCCGATCCGAAGGACGTCCACAAGACCGAGGACGGCATCGAGGTGCCCTACGGAATGGGAGTGCCTGCCAAGCTCAGCAAAAATTCGGCATTACTGTACAATGAATACATCGTGTACGATGTGGCTCAGGTCAAAGTACGATATATGATAAGAATGAATTTCAAATACAAATACTAAGTATACGTAACGCAAAAAAGTGTGTGATGTTCAAGCTCGTATTAAAGTTAGGGTTTTTAATTTTGTGAGATTACATTTCATTCTGCTAATTGTTAATTTAAGATGTGTTACTATAAATTCCAGTGAAAATATTTTGCTAGTATTATAACTATTAAACTTCGTAAAACCGTTTTACCGTAATTGATAATCTTCAATTTTCAGTGTTTTGTTTCAATTGTATGCAATTTGTTTATGCGCACCGAATAATGTTTGCTACCTCGAATATTGATATTGCAAGAACGTAATAAATTTTTTATAAAATAAATATTTTCCGTCAATTTTTACATTACATACGCATCTTTCCTTTTGTCGTCCTTTACGTCAATATTTTATTACATAATTTGAGATTTAAAAATAAAATTTGCTAATTTGGATTATTTTTGTTATAACATATTCATGATTTATTTAGAATAAGTAAATTCTCTTGTCTGATAACAACGCGTCAGTTATAATACATGATGTCCATCCCTTCCTCCCGCCACTCTCTCTCTCTCTCTCTCTCTCTCTCTCTCTCTCTCTCTCTCTCTCTCTCTCTCTCTGCCTATATGTATATATACTGAAATTGCCGAACGTGAACATTGTCAGCGCTACATGTTAATTAAGGGTATACTAAAGAGACTAAATTCGGTAACACCGTTTTAATTCGTGCATATGTGTGCGATATCAATGTAGTTGTGTGTACTGTGTAGTGATGTGTGACGTTCTACACATGAATATCGCGCGCGCACACACACGTATGCATGTATATACATACATGTATTTTCATACAGCTTCTGATATTAAAACACTAGGTTTATTAATAAAAAACATAATTACTGAATTCTTTTATGTAATCCCGAGTGGATAAAATCTTTATATATCGTACTGTTTTATCGTACAAAGAATAATATTCTCTTAAATATATATTAATTGCAGATAATACCGGCTGTTGTTACGAGTCGACACCGAAAGTCGATAAAAAAATTCTAATTTTCGAAAATTTTTTCGTTTTTTCACATAAAATAATTGCATCCGCACTCCGTTACTGTCTATACTTTAATTACGGAAAAGGACTTCCAAATCTGTGAAGGCAATGCATACGAAAAATTTGTACGAAAATTATTGCGTTTAGTAGGTAAAACAGGTGATTTTACGATTAACTTTTAATTTAATTGGCATTGTCGGCGTCGCGAAAATTGTGTCGTAAGTCGTTTTCAGTCGTTCCCTATTGTTTTCGCGAAGTGACTGTGTGATAAACGTTCGGCAAGATGGGCGCATCTCAATCGAGATACAATTTCGACAATTCGCGATACAGAAACAGAAGAGATTCCGACGATTTCGAAACCCCTTTAGGCTATCAGGTGGAATACGCGAAAAGCTCTCGGGCCCACTGCTGTTTATGCAAGCAACGTATCGAAAAGGAGTCCCTCAGGCTCGGCATTATTGTTGAGGTACATGTTGAATTTTGTGATGAAGAAATTGCGCGAATGTATTATAAATCGCGCGTCGTTGTGCCCAGGAGTACTTTAAATATCTTCTCAGGATTAACGGCTACCTACATTTCGCGACGCAATAGTATGAACGCGTGTGTTTATCATTGCACTGTCGAATGTCGATCTTGTGTAACGATAAATAAAGCATGGCACCCTATGGTCTCCTGAATAATTGCGTCCTCTAATGCTATCACCATGGTGTAAGAAAATACCATGGTGATAGCCATGATGTTTTTCTTACACCATGGCTATCACTATCGCGACACATGTTGAAACATTCACTTATTTTATTTGCAGCTGTTTTCCCTTTGAAAAAACATTCCTTATTCCGTTATAAAAAAAAAAAAACATAAACATACATGTTTTCTGCTATGTATATCACTTGGAAAGCTAAACAATATACTTATTTCTTTCCTTGCAACATAGAATTGATATGTCCTTCATTGCTTTGTGTTAAATTTTAGGCAACAAATTAAATAAATATAATAAATAGCGCATTATATTAGGAAATTATCTGAGCTTTCTAAACGGCGTTTCTGAGATATTTTTATAATACATAAAATAAATCTTTAAAATAAAAATATTTGTTGTATTTTCAGAGTCCCTTTCATAAGGGAACAATACCCAGATGGTATCACTTCCCATGCTTCTTTTCACTAGAACATGAAGAACATATCTCGACCTATAAATTAGTTGGCTTCAATGAGATTCGCAATGAAGATCAAGCTGCAATTCGAGAGAGACTTAGCTTAGCAGATTTTAGAGTGGAATATGCCAAGTCTGGCAGGGCCACCTGTGTAGGATGTCATGAAAAGATAATAAAAGGCGAAACAAGAATAGGGAAGAAGGATTATGACGCCGAGCAGGCAATGAGGTTTAATGGTTTCGTCGACAGATGGTATCATGTGGAGTGCTTCGCGCAATTAAGAGATGCTTTGGGATATAATGGGCAAGGAATTGAGCTTCCAGGTGCCGGACAACTCTTGAAAGAAGATCTAGAGAAACTCAAGGCTTTGTTGTCCAAAAATATTCAGGATGATATGCCATCGCCCCCTAAAAAATTTAAGATTGAACCAGAAGACATGGAATTGATGAAGCAAATTGAAGAGCTGTACGCTATAAAGAATCAAATATCGCGTCTCGAAAAGAAAGATATGGTTGCGTTATTGGCAAAAAATAATCAAGAGGTTCCAGCTGATACATCAGATGTAAGTAAATATATATATTTGTGTTATGACACTCAATAGATATTTTTCCTCAAACCTTATTATATGATTTTTAAGCAGGTTTATTATGTCACTTTAATCCGATTTTATTTATAGATCATAAATTTTTTGTCTGATATGTTGTATTTTGGAGCTCTACAACCCTGTCCACAATGTCAAAGACAACTCATATACGACTCTGGTTTGGGTTATAAGTGTATTGGCAATGCAACGGAATGGTATAAATGCGAGTACGTTACACAAGATCCAGAGAGAAAAGAATGCGAAATACCAAGTGAAATGAAGGAAAATTTTCCAATTCAGTAAGTTTTCATCAGATGTGGAACAATGTGGGATTTAATTGAACGAATCAATTCTATGTGTATACACATCTTTATTTCAATATTAATAAATACGATGTAAAGATGATTTATTAATAATCGTGATTTATTTTTAGATCATACACATCTATAGTGAGAAAACGATTGCTTGAAGTAAATATGCCATCATCGTCAAGTTCCGTTGAAAGAGTTGTAGCCAAAAATTGGGATGGACAAATACCCAGAATACAAGGAAGGCCACGTCCGTTGAAAAATATGCAGTTTGTTATAATAGGTCGTACAAACAAAGATAAGAAGGAATTGAAAAAGGATATTTTACTGTTGGGTGGTACTGTTATAACAAAAATCCATCAAAATCTGACTGCTGTAATTTCGAATGAAACGGAGGTTAAAAAAATGAATAAGAGAATGAAGGATGTTCAGGCACACAACGTTCAGGTAGTAACAGAAGATTTTATAGAAGAAGCGAAAAAGCATAGAGACGCTCCCGTCATGCTCCTAAGAGAGAAAACTATTTCTAGTTGGGGTAGCGATATTAATGCTCGACTTTCTGACGTAATCGCAAAATCCCCATCTGAGGTTGTGAATATTTAGAATATATAACGCATAAAAAGTGTAATGTTCAAGTTTATGTCCTATTTTTTTTTAACTTTGTGAGATTACATTTCATTTGCTGATTATTAGTTTAAGATATTATATTAATTCCAGTGAATACTTCATTATGACCAAAACTTCATAAAACTTTTAACTTTAAATGATAATTTTTTGTTTTGTGTAGTTGCATGTTTACGCGCACATTTGATTACGCGCACATTTGATTACGCGCATATTTGTTCAAGCGTATATTTGTTTACGCATATATTATTTACATGCATTTTGTTTTCATGTATTGTCTTACTAAAGTGTTTGCTACATCGAATATTGATTGTAAGAACATACAGTAAATTTCTTACAAAATAAAATATTTTTTGTTATCTTTTACATTAATGTTTAATAATTAATAATTAAATCGTCAAACCAGAGACAATTCAATGAGATTTATAAAAAGGATGCTGGCGTGACGGCTGAACTCCGTATCCAGTCGCTTTTATCGTCGATTTGTGTGTATGCATACATGCGATTGATGCAGTAGTGTGTGTGATGTGTGGTGATGCGTAACGATTACAATTAATTTACTACTCATAAATATTACACGCATACGTATGCATACGCATTTTCGTGCAATCTTTTCTCATATATTAAAGTATTAAGATTTATTAATTAAAACTGCAGTATCATCTCTCTCATGTAAGCCGCGGCTGAAGCTTATTTTTAAAAGCTTAGTTTATAAAATATAAAATCCTTATACCAAACAAATATATATATTGTAATTACATTTGTACGAGTCGATAGCAAAACTGTAATTCTCGAAATTTTTTTCGTTTTCATACATAAAATTTTTATCCGCGTTCCGTTATTGTCTGTACTTTAATTCTGGAAAAAGGTTTTCAAATTTATCAAAGTAATGTATGCGAAAAGCTTGTACAAAAATTATTGCATTTCGTCAGTAAAACAGACGCCTCAAGCATCGCTGCATCCGGCATCGCTTTGCCTTAACCTGTCCGTAACCGGCATTGTTGCCGAAATCGCCATTTCTTATTATCGTTTTCGCGTGTTCGCGACCGTTCGAGATGACTGACAAACGTTCGGCAACTAGCCAAGTTTATCTCTGTTAAAGCGGACCAGGTAGGATCAGGGCCACTAAAGGAAAAAAAGAGAAGAAACATTCGGCAAGATGGGCTCATCGATGAGCTCTGACGAGTTTGACGATTACAACGATTACGGCGCGGATTGCGACTGTTTGGACTGTTGCGGCCATTCCCAAAATTTTGACGATTCCACCGATTCTATTAGTTTCGACAATTCCGATTTCGACGAATTCAACGAGTACGATGAATACTACAATACTGCCCATACCGACGATTCCGACAGTTCTAACAATTCTGACGATTTCGACGATTCGGATTTGCCGTATATGGTGGAGTACGCGAAAAGCGGTCGGTCCAAGTGTCAAAAATGCAAGCATTTGATCAGCGAGCGCAACTTGAGGCTCGCCACCGTTTCTCAGGTACTTATGTTGTCGAATTTTTTGCGACGAAGAAATCACGCAAATAAATAGCGCATTGTGCTCAGAATAATATCTTGAAAGATACGCGGCGAGCTACAAAATGCTATGAATACGTGCGTTTATCATTACACAAGATAGATCTTGTGTAATGATAACGCACACGATCGTCTCATTCTAATTAATTGTGTTACCTGATTCTATTACTATCGCGACATATGCACGTTGAATTATTTTATTATTTTATGCAGTTTTGCTTTCCCTTTGCAGAACGTTTCCTTATTCGGTTATAAAAAATATATATAAACATATGTTTCCTGCTATGTCACTTTGATCACTTCGAAAGCTAAACAATATATTTCTCTCCTAGCAATTGTAAAATGATACGTTCTTCACTGCTTTGTGTTTTCATGTTAGACAATAAATTTAATAAATATAGTAAATCACAAATTATATTAAGAGATCCTTAAGTTGTTCTTATGATATCATAAGAATTTTTTATAATGTATAAAAAAATAAATCGATAAAATTAAAATATTTATAATATTTTCAGTTTCCTTATATTAGAGGAATGGTAGTCATACCTAGATGGTATCACTTCAGATGCTTCTTCTTAGTACACAGACCAACCTCGACCAATGACATAGCTGGTTTCCGTAGTAAGATTCGCAGGACACATCGAAATTTAATTCGGAAGAAACTTATTTGGCAAAGGATGGACGATAATTCTGCAGATTTCAGAGTAGAATATGCCAGGTCTAGCAAATCTATCTGTAAGGGTTGCCAAAAAAAGATAATGAAAGGAGAAACAAGAATAGCGAAGAAGGAGAAGGATTACGAGTTCGAAATAGTTAAGAGGTTTGGAGATTTGGACAGATTATATCATATGGAATGCTTTGCGAAATTAAGAGCAGAATTGGGATATTACGGGCAAGGAGATGAGCTTCCAGGTGCTGCACAGCTTTCAAACGAAGATTTGGAACGTCTCAAGGCTTCATTGTCCAAAATGTCTCAAGATGATATGCCACCACCTCCTAAAAAGATTAAGGTTGAATCAGAAGACGCGGAGTTGATGAAGAAGCAAAATGAAGAGCTGTATGCTATGAAGGATCAAATATCACATCTCGAAAAGAACGATATGGTTGCGTTATGGGTAAAAAATAATCAAGAGTTGAAAGAAGATTTGGAAAGTCGCGAGGCTTCATTGTCTCAAGATGATATGCCACCACCTCCTAAAAAGATTAAGGTTGAATCAGAAGACGCGAAGTTGATGAAAAAGCAAAATGAAGAACTGTATGCTATAAAGGATCAAATATCACATCTCGAAAAGAGCGATATGGTTGCGTTATTGGTAAAAAATAATCAAGAGGTTCCAACTGATACATCAAGTGTAAATACAAGATAATATATATATATATTGTACTTAAAAATCACATAATAGATTTGAGGAAAAATATTTA